AGTATATATATATGTACAGATCATCCGTTAACTGTGGTATCGTGGACTGGAACTGAGAGAGGATCAAGATCTTCCCACGTCAAGCCTCACGGAAAATGGACCCACCTTCACCTCCTTGTGAATCCCAAGTCCATCCCCCTCCGTGTTTTCCCTCATGGTGTTAGCCGCACTTCTGCCGCGAACGAACAATTTTCCCGGGAATCGATCGATCGACTCCTGAATCGTTTCAGTGGGTCTTGTGCTTATAGCGAGTGTCTGGAATATTCCGTGGAGAAACCTCCTAATAGGCTGACCCGGCAGACCCGGCAGACCGATGTTGCCCAACTGTATATTCGACAGCAGGTTTAGCTGTAAAAATATTAATTAATATACAGACATACGGTGTGTTGACATCAGTTCGTTTAGAAACTATCGTGACCGACACGAAAATGCAAGGAATATAAAGATTGTATGTGTACCTAACACTGTCATTACAGTAAAACTCGATTTACACATCTTGGGGATCAAAATCAGTTCATATAATAGGATTTCATTGATTTTCCTCCCTACCTGTAATTTTTTTCGTTCGAATATCCGGAATTCACGTTCGGATAAGTGGATTGAATCATACATTTACTCGCTTTTCTGTTTACAGTAACGTTTCAAAATCATGTACATTTGGAATTAAATTTTCGAGAACAATAATATCGTAACGGTTAGTGAATCAATTCTAAAATCTTCTCCTTGTCAGTGCCGAAGGATCGTCGAACACTTATCGATGATTTACTTTACTTGTATCTACAATTGTCATATACGAACCAGACTGTTATCATCGTGATGTGGCTCGTACTCGTCTAAGAACTTCTCCAGTTTGATTTCCAACGGGGTGGGCTTGTACGAATTGGGATCAACGTTCGCCGCAGGTGGATAGACTGCTGGCTCCCGCGGGTAGGTCGCGGTATGTTGACTCTCGACGCGATCCACCGACGAAGACATAGGTGGAGGATGTGGAGACACGTCTCGCGGATCGGGGATACGTTTGCCGTTCGGATTCGACGGTTGTTTGGGGAATCCAGAATCGGGGACGCGTGTGCTGCGCGTCTCCTCGTCGTCTCCTTTCGTCAATGGCGCTTCTACCGATCGCCGATTCAATTTACGCGATCCCGACGAAGACGACGTAGTCCCGTCATTCTTTCCCTTCGAGCTGATCATATCCTGGTTTCCTGTAACATCCAGATCCTGAAAGAATCGTTGATCTCGTTAAGCTTAATCGCGTTATCCCTTGCCGTCGACGTAATCTCGTCACTCCCAATAAATTCAGCATTTCGTGGAATACGAATTCGCTGTCGAGGGATTCGTGAAATTGAAATGAAAATTGAAACGTCATTGTTCGTTAAGTAATATTAGGTTGCATCGACGTGGTTTGCACATTTATATTTACTATACGCCCATGGAACGATCATTCTACTATCAATCGATCTAAGTAGGCAGGTTTACAGGTAAAGAGATTCACTTAGGAAAAAGGGAGACAAAACAGAGATACAATGACTAAATCTAACCCTTTCATTCCCACATTATTTTAAAATTACCAAAGATATATTTTGTTGCATTTTTGAGTATATTACATGACATATAAATGATTCTCAAGAACATTTTAATATTTTGAAACCGTCTAATGCCACTTAAAAACTTTTTTACTTTTTTTACAATTATATACAGTAATTCCCATTGTAATGTTATACATACTAAAACCCAATTTTTCGTACATTTAGTCGATAAATCCAATAATAACTGTCAAGTGAGTGTTAATGAAATTTAACAAATTTATTATTTTATAGTAGACGCATACACTACTGTAAATCTTCAGCAATACTACTGGAACTCGCTTTCCATACTTTATCGATCATTACAGATCACAACAGCTCATCTACACCGACTGACCAACACGAGCATTTCCATTAACACGTCGCCAGGGTCCACTCCGTGGCTCGAAATAAATTACCAAAAGAAATAATACGCCACCAAGTCGTAAGGGGGCGCGAGTCAAACTCAAGCCATCAGAACGCATAAAGAAAACAGCAGTAGGAAAAACGAAAGGGGGAGGGTCAAGAGTTCAGACGGCTTTGGTCGTCGCTCTCTTCGTCCTAGGTGTCCGTTGTCTTTTTCATGACGCGGGAGACAGGGAGCAAGAACAAGAAAAACGCAAAAGGAAAAGTAATTAGCGAGCATTGTCAGGTCTGGAATACCCACTCACCTGGTCGAAGCTCGTCCGAATAAGTCGCAGGACTTTCTCAAAGGCGTCTCTGTACGCCGCCTTGTTCCCCTCGTGCTCCGGCGTAATTACTTGTCTAAAAAGAGCCGCCACCAGATTCTCGTCACTCGGATTCAGATACACGGAATTCCCGAGGACAGCATCGTCGACCGTCTTCTCGCAGCCGACAAACGATAACACGAAAACGGAATAGAACGCAGCCACCAGAAGCCCACTGGACACCGTAAATAGTTTCATCGCGGAAAATCTGATTCTCTATCGTTCACGACACGATCGTTGTAGAATGTCGCGCGAAATCGCGATTATATAGGGGCGACGGACAGCTGTTTCGGGAAGAGTGATTGCGCAAAACGATGAAATATAACCTACGGAGGGGGGAGGGGGGGCTGCGACTGTTGATCGAACGTCGGCTAATTGTCGTTTGCACAGTCTGCTCCGACGATCGGATAGCCTAGCGAAGATGATCGGCGCACACGTGGACATTTGACGGATAGCTTGGATCGTTCAAAGGGGAAAGAGGTTGATCAAGTTAAACACAGATGCGGCTGTCTTCGTGGGTAACTGGCGTCTCGAGGACGCCAATAAAAGGGTCTTCGACGAATTCATCCGCCCGGAAATACGTATTTCGCGGTTCCCCGTCGAAATTTTCCACCGACGACAGCAAGAATTCTTGGACGGAGAGGGATCGCGCGACCGGTTTTACTGGCGGACAAGCCAGGGCGAGCTGCGGGTATCGACGAGAAAGGATGTATAAGTTCGTCGGCCACCGGGACGAAAGTTTCGTCGAACTGTCGTCGTTTTTCATGCAACTTTTCCGCTTGCCTTCCCCCTCCCCCTCCCCTACGTCCGAGGGGTGGAGAGGCATTCGTAAAATTTCTCGGGGAAACTTTATCGTTTTCCGATCATAACGCGACGTGCTTGTCCCTTGAACCCTTCGGTTCATCCACCTGATAGGCCGAAGAACTACGTGCATGTGTCGTATTAAAATTCTTTGAGCGATTCCGTCGCGAGAATAAATGCGTGGGAGAGTTCAAGGGGATCGTAAGTCGGGCAACCCTTGCTGGGAAATTCGAACCATCAATTTAACACGCGTTTCTTCGCGGTTCCAAGATGTAATATCGACAGCTGGATGATTAACGGCTTCGGGAACACTTCGTATTTTATGCTGTTTTAGTATCGGTGATTCTATGTGAATAACTCGTGTCGCAGCTGTACGAGATTGACTCCCGATAACAGTCGTGGGAAAGGGAAATTATCGACTACTAGAACTGGATGACTATTGGTAATAAAGTTTTTGAATTACGGAAATCTCTTACTTTCCACAAATATTGAGTTCTAGGAGAGATTTATCAGGTTCTGATAAAGTTAAAAATGATTGTCTTTAACAATTTCATGTTCTAATGGATTGTATGAAATTGTAAAGAAATACGTAAGGTGAGATTCGTTGCTTGCTAATTAGTTGACGAAGTTGAGGAAGTCAAGCGTCAGTTGCTGGTCTGTTAAACAATTTGTTAACGGTGACGACAAAACTTTTTAAAGTTAAATAACGAAGCGAACGTTTTTGTCCGTCGACGTGGTGAACAACGAAAACAAACGTACGGCCCGCATCGGCGTGTTGGTTGGCTTCCAATCAGGGTCCCTTGTGCGTCGTGATTGCTATTTCTTTTTGGCCTCATGGATCCCAAAGGAAACTCCTCCCAGTCACCCCAAAAAGCAACTTCATCTTGGTTCCAGTTCTTTGCGATCCAGCACGTACAACCGCTGGGATCAGCCGCTCTTTCGGCTAATTGTGACGAGCTAATTGTGAACGAACCTTAATGTGTTCCGCGTCGTGATGCATTTTAATGCGATGCTACGAGAGTTCTTTGGCTCCCACCGTTTTCCCTCACGGGCAGAAAAGACCTGATAGTATTTTCTTTCTGGTGGAAATTTGAGTAACTAGAAAGACACGTCTTTCAGGATTTTTTTTTCATTTCACATATTTTCCTTCAATTAATAGAACCCAATTACATTCGGAGACACATGATGGATCATCGGTGGATCACGATATGACTGTAGATTTCGTAGATTTATAAGAAATATTAAAAATTAAAATACTGTAAAATGGATAATGGGAATAATGGAGATGATATATCATATAGCGTGATAAACGAAAAGACTCGAGATACAGGACAGTTAAGTCAAGCTATAAACGTAGGAATTGGGAAGAACATAATTCGCCACCTTGATCGGTGTTTCCATTGCCATAGGAGTCTTGAACTTCTGGATAACGTGGAGCCTATTAATGAACACAAAAATGGAATGATTTTCCTATTCGTTTCCCATCGTTATCATCCAATATAATATAAACGATGTATGCATCTAAGAAACATTTCGAACCGTTTCGTGGACAGATATGCAATCAGAAGTTTCGAGCTGTACATGTGCACGGGGTCACGATATTTCGGTCAGCAATTACTGCGACCGGAAATGAAACGGGCGCGCCATTCGTGTACCGAATGAAGCGTCCAGGTAAATCGATGTTAGTTTCGGTGAATTTGATTTCGCCATAGCCATCAATTCATTAAGAAATTTGGTAATAAACAGGAAGACGGAGAAATTGAACGTCGAGCATAATTACGAACCATCGGACTACCGTCAAAAACGTTTCGGAGCAAATGATCGCAATTTAATGGAACAGTGATAACAACAGCATTTATTAACAGAATTACAGAATTAAATTAATTACATATTGATTGTACACAACATATTTAATCAACATATCAAACAGACTCTTGAGCTTTTCGGTATTCAAAGACGCTTCCTCGCTCGACGAATCCTTGAGTAGTCTTCCTTATTAATGTAGCCTCTTTACCAGGTGAACCGTAACCGCCACCGCCAGGACTCTCCAAAATGAACGTGTCCTGCAAACAAACCTCCCATTAAAACGGACGACCCGTGGAATATACAAAGAACATTCCACGGAATCGAAGAAAATGACACCGTGACCCCCGTCCCTCGATAAACGCGCCGTAATATCAGATATTTTTCAGCTTCTCGCGGAACAACCGAGTTGCAAACAACCGGATCGCAATTGTCGCGATAAAACCTTTTACGATCCAACGTAAAAACGCGAACAACTTTTCTTCCGTCTTCGCCGCGCGTAGCTACTTGCGTTCGACGGATCGAACATCCTGCAGTTTATTTTGTTCCGAATTTTATCGCACGATTTTACAACGACGCGTATATTTTTACGCAATTCATATATTTCGTCCTTCGAGGTAATGGTTGATGGAAGCTGTAAAAAGAACAGCGTCTCGTCGACATACCCCTGGACGCACTGGCACCGCAGTCTTTGGGCCCAAGTTGATTCTTCGCCCATCCGCCGTCTGCAACGTGTTCCTTCCGCGTTCGCCAGACAATCCTCCGGCCAATCCGGGAGGGCTGTGCACTCTTCTTTCCGTTAACACTGACAACATCATCGGGGTTCTACGAATGAAACATATCCAGTTAAAAGTAGCTTGCGATAAGAACTAGAAGATGACTCTTATTGAGTATAAATGTAATCTAATGGGTTCGTCAGGCCATTTTTAGTTAAAGAAAAAGTCAGTTTTTACGTGAAGTACCTAAAAGTCATCTCACGGATGACACCATCGCCTCCGGGACGGGAACCAGCTCCACCAGTCCCGGGACGTAGAGAAAATTTATTCAGAATCACCGGATACCGAAGCTCTAGTATCTCTGGGTCTGTGATCCTAGTGTTGGTCATATGGGTGTGCACTCCTCCTCTACCGTTCCACGTTGGTCCCTTGTTGATTGTTGAAAATTAAATGAAACAAATGGTCCAAAAGTGATCTGCTAATTTTAGCAATCACGTTGCTAAATTGAGAATTGTATATATCAGAGAAAATCGCTTACAGCTCCGCTGCCTCCAGCTACGGTCTCATAGTATCCCCACTCCTCGGTGCCCAGTGTTACATTGTTCATGCAACCCTGCGACGCTGCACAGGCCCCGAATGCTTGCAAAATAACGTCCACCACGCGTTGAGACGTTAGGACGTTACCACCGACCACTGCGGCTTCTTCAGATGGGTCCAAAAGTGATCCTTTCGGGATAATTATCTTCACCGGTTTCAGACAGCCCTAAAAATCACCGAAAGCTTTGAAGAATGTTTTATTACATGTACTTATACGTTAACTTATTAAACCAGAGAAAATATTGAGTACGACGAAAAGACATATCGATGGTACCTGATTCAAGGGCACATCTCGACCGACGATACACCTCAAACAGTAGATCAACGCGGACAGAGTAATGGCGCGAGGTGCGTTACAGTTTCCCCACACTTCGTATCCTGTACCACTGCAATTTCAATTTCTCGTTAAAGGTTTTAATGATACTCATGAACGTTTTCATATAACAATCAAATCGAACATACGTAAAATCACAGACCGCTTCGCCTCTCTCGATATCAACGTTCAAAGTGAATCTAATCGGACTTCCATCGTCCATGTGATCTACCGCGGTTGCAACGGTACTTCCGGTTTCTTCGAAGAGCTTCCTTCCGACAGATTTCAGCATTTCCCGGACTGCAACTTCCGCGTTATGTTGGATGTGACCCATGTAGGCTTGAACAACCTCCAGACCGTATATATCGATCAGCTCGTTCACCAATAGCGAACCCTTGAGTAAATATTAGCAATTTTCTTGTGCATTCTTCAAGATACTGAGGAAAGATTAACAAACGAAATACTTATTCCTACTTTGTGATTGGCTGCAATCTGAGCCTTCAGGTCGCTCAGATTGTCGGACAGGTTCCTGGTCCCGGAACTTCCTGGGATCTTGCCTGGAGCCATCAATTCTTCTGTCAATTCCTTCTCGCGGAACACACCATTGTGCACCAAGAGGAAACTCTTAAAAGTAGCTCCCTCCTGCAAGACGTATCTTCGTTATTAAAATGAACTGGGAAGGAATATTATCATTGAGAGGAATTGCACAACTGAGTGATGAGAAAATGCGAATCTTATTGATCAGAATATTAATAGACATATCAAATTCAGCTCTCACAAATACATTTTCCTTCAGGATTATCTGAATGGACGTTTTTCCTATCCTTGGATCAGAGATTCGATTGATTTAACACCCTCAAGTGTCTTTGCATCGAACTTCATCAAATTGTACGTCAGCCAGACACACGCTACAATCACTAGAAATTCTTCCTTGGTCTCATACCTGAAGCAAAGTAGTAGAATGAGGCGGCATGGAGCCAGGTGTGATTCCTCCGATATCAGCGTGGTGGCCTCTACTAGCCACGAAAAACACCGGTTTCGCCACGTCCCTGTGAAGATTTATCCCCAATTCGTATTCTCAACTCATCTGTGTATTATACAGAGTGAACCACGAATCGTAATCAGTAGATATATAAAAAAAGTAACATATGTTATATTATGATACTTATCGAATTCGTCTTGAAATCCTCTAACAGATAGGCGTAAAATAATTATAGATGTTTTTTCAAAAAATTAAAGGTGCCCTTGAAAAATCATGAAAAAAGAGAGTTGACAAAAAATTTGCTATAATCACGTTAAAGATCTCTTGAAACTATGCTATACCTGATAAAAACATTTTCAATCGAACTGCTAATAACAGAGTAATCTCTACTGATCACGATTCGTGGTTCACCCTGTATACATACTTAGAAGTTAGGAAATGTAAATACTTGTAAAATACTGGAGTTATGACAGTGAGATCCGGAAGATGAGATCCGCCAGCGGACGGATGATTCGCGAGTATCACGTCGCCTCGCGTGAATTCACCCCCGAAGGCTCTCATCTGATACTGCACCGTCTCCTGCATGGCGCCCAGATGGACCGGTATATGGGGCGCGTTGGACACCAATCCTCCATCGGGACCGAACACCGCGCACGAGAAGTCCAGTCGTTCCTTTATGTTCGTCGAGATCGAGGTTCTCTGGAGAATCCTTAGAGATCCCAATTTGTGAAACTTCGAGCAGCTCGCCCCGCAAAGGGTGGTTCGTAAATTGCATCTTATCGCTCGATCTACCTGCCCATCTGCTCGGCGATACTCATGAACCGGTGGGAGAAAATGCTGAGCTGAATAGCATCCAACTCGGTCGTGACCTCCGTCTTCAGGCCTTGACCGATCATTATCACGACGTCGCCGCGAGATGTGATCGATGCGTGGCAATCGGGCTCGATCAGAAGGGTGCTCAGGCTGTCCATGATAATAGCTGGTCCGGAGATCGTGTGGCCGGGCGACAAGGAAGCTAATTGGTACACCTTGGTCTCTAGGTAACCGTTCTCGAAGTAGACCATCGTTGTCTGGAAAGTCAATCATGTAAGAGTATTCGGTAGTATGGGGTACATATTGTATATTAATAACTTCTGTGTCTTGTTAGCGATTTGAACTGTTACCCAGTACCGATTTGGATAAGAAATGACTAGGATATGGTTGTGGATTCAAAGTTGCAAACATGTCGTAAATATTTTAGATACTAATGAATGTTCTACACTGTCAAAATCACAAATTTTTCTGTTTACTTGCCTTTTCCAACTTGGGAAGTGCTTCAGAAGACGGTAGAGTCGGATCTTCATCTACATCAGTCTTCCCCACTCCCCGTACTCTCACGTCGTTGACCAAAATTTTTCGATTCGACATAGTGAAGCCGAATTCCGTCTGATACCTAAATCAACCATCGTTAAGTTTCGTATTTCATGTTCTCACTTTATTTCTCACCATTAGAAACTTCACCTTTCTAGAAACGTAGTCAGAAAATCGCCATGTCTGGTACCCTCGTTTCCATCCCCTTTTGGATTCGGCGTGCACATCAATGCGCAGTCTGTTCCTTGGTAACGCAGGTGTAAAAATGGCTGAGTAATTATGTGAGACTCTGCGAATCCTTGCCTCAATAGCCTAGCTCGAACTCTTCTCTCTAAAGCATCTAGACGCTCGTCCAGTCGCGCAAACGATTCTGAATTTAAAGAAGCAATGGTATTAGAACTACTGGACTATAGATTTTATTTCTATGACGAACATAAATCCCTATTTAATTCTCACTTTCAGAATCTATATTTTTAAAAAATTGATATGTTAAATTATACACATATTTGTTGTAAGTTGAAGAAATTAATGCTTTCGCGATTTTTCAAACGTACCTTTTTCGTAAGCTTCCGCGCTAGGTTCCTGAGCCTCTTCCACAACGTCGGCTAAGGCCATCCCATAGGCTGACAAAATTCCCGCGTATTTGTGCACGAAAACGGTTCCCATTCCGAGGGACCGTGCAATCGCACACGCGTGTTGTCCACCAGCACCCCCGAAACAAGCTAAAACGTGACGAGACGTATCGTATCCTTTAGCCTATCATATAAAAAGAAAGAATAAATAATTTATCTCTATTTATCTCAGTCTCAGTACTTAGCTACTGTAGTCTGCGAACTATATTTAAACAGACCTGTGTTAGAGCTCGTATCGGTCTACACATCGTTTCATTGGCGACTCTCACGAATCCCATAGCCACTTCTTCGATCGTCATATCCGTCTTCGACTTCTGGCCTTCTTTCGCCAAAAATTCGTTTATCTATAAACAAAAAGTTAATGCCCCGTCTACATAAAAATCTCATGGTAATCTTCTACAGAAGAAGCTTTAATCTTTACGTAAAAAAAAAATCTTCCATGAATTACTATACTAGTTACAGATTTTTAGCAACAGTCTCAATTGAATTCAACTTCCCTAAAATGGTCACCGTTTACGTACCTCGTCGGTAAGTGCACGGAACGCCTCCATCGTCCGCGACTTGTCCAACGGCTCGTTCTCGCTCGGTCCAAATATTTTCGGGAAATACTCGGGCAACAATCGTCCTAGAGCCAGATTCGCGTCAGTCACCGCTAGAGGGCCATTCTTCTTGTAGCACGCTGGTCCAGGATGTGCTCCGGCGCTCTGAGGTCCGACCTCGAAGAGACCCGACCTGAAGAAAAGCATCGATCCACCTCCTGCCGCAACTGTGTTCACGTCCAACTTCAACCGAATTTGGTGATGTTTGAGATCATCGAAGTGACTAGACTTTCTCACCGGTTCAATGATTTGGAAAACTATTTCCAGTAGTTACGATGACGCGATATTATTGCTAATCTAGTAATAGGTAACTGAGCTACAAAATGGTACCTGCGCGGCTTGGATCGTCACGCCAGCCGTGGTACTCTCGTACACGTGCTCGTAGCTACCACCGTAACGACTGACGTCGGTAGAGGTCCCACCCATGTCGAATCCAATCACCGGTAAATTGGTCTCCTTGCCATAGGTGGTCATAGCGTAGCCAACCACTCCACCGGCTGGACCGGAAAGTATAGCGCGGGAACCGTTGAACCTGAATAAAAAGAATTAAGACCTAGACAAGATTGTCCCTGAACTCGTTTGGATGTGGTATTACAGTTATTCCAGTTCGTTACTTGGCTACTTGAATCACAAAAGACTCACGAGTTCATTGGAGTCAATCCACCGTCGCTCTGCATGAATAGCACATTCACGCCCTTCAGTTTATCTTTGAATCCCGAGGCGAAGCCCTGAAACAGAGTTATGAATTAATGATCGAGGATGCAGGGTCCTAGCTTCCAAAGACAAGTCCTGGAAATTCGAAAAAGCGGTGTGCTATTTCGAAATAGAATGTTTTCTTCAAGATTTAAAACAAAAATAACGGGACTGGGATATGTACCTCTAAATACTGTTTAATATGCGGCGTCAGGTACGCGTCAGCACAGGCGGTGAAGCCTCGAGGAACGATCCTCGTCATGGGCATAACTTCGTGGGAAAGGGACACTTGAGGAAAACCAGCCTCTCTCGCCAGTTCACCGACTCTGATCTCGTGTTCAGCGAACCTAATAAAGAGAAAGACAAACGAAAAGCTATGAAGTCGACAATTGATTACAATCCAAATGTTTGATAGTCACATTTAGGGACTGACATGTAGCTGTGCGCTAGAACCACCGCCAAGCTCTCAATCCCAGATCGTCGTAGGTCCTCCAGGTCCTTCTTCAACCTCTCTTCATCGAGTTCCTGCGTCACGAACAGATCTTCGCCCGTGGAACCCTTCACTGTTCGCCACTTTTTCGAATCCAGGCAACATCTACCGGGTAAAGCAGGTACCACCCTGCACTTCACTTCTATGACCCTCTTGTAAAGGACTTCCGGTGTGGTTACTTGCTGAAAAGACGGAATATTTATCCCTCCCCGCTATTCCACAGCGTCTTCTTTATTATTCGATCACTAACCAGGTCAAATATATTCGGTCGTGCCTGGTTTCCAATGAAAAGTAGATCTTTGAAACCCTCGTTTATCAGAAGGGCCATCCTCGCGCCCTTTCTCTCCAGCAACGCGTTCGTCGCGACTGTTGTCCCCATTCGAATCCACGATATCAACGAAGTATCGATTTCTCCGTCGATCTTACGTCCGGTTTCCTAAAAGTATCGCGCCTAAGACATCGTGAAGAGCTCGTAGATTGTGAATATCGTTACCTGTTCGAGTATCCTCCGAATTCCTTCGCGCGGCGCGTCCTCGTAATTGGCGGGATCCACCGAGAGCAGTTTCATCACTCGAACTTTGCCGCCCGGACACCTGGCGTACACGTCTGTAAACGTGCCGCCCCGATCTATGGCGAACTCGAACGTCTCCGGAATCATGTTTCACGTTAACACCGACGAACGACGATCTAGCTGTTCGGTCTGGCTGGCCGCGATCACCTAGACGGTCGACGGGAGACTGTCTCGCGGATCAACTCGGAATTTTCTAGAACATCGGAAGCCCGTAAACGATAACGATCCGATAAGATCTCGAGAGTTACGGGGCATAAAGACCGCCAGGGCAAACACAGTAACGTCTCGATCAGCTGGCGACCAGTGAACGTTTCAACTGTCGGACGCCAAAGTAAACGGGAGCACACTGATGGTGACAGCGTTCCTCGAACAGACGATTGGAGGCCAGGCTGTATCTGTACTGTCTAGATTGTTTGCATCCTGACACTTTCTATTTGTTCTGAGATTGGTGAGCGGTGGAACATTGCGCACACGATAGCAGGCACTGTAGCGCAAAGTTGAGGCAGCTAGTATTTTTCCATTTATTTAGAGACAACGAGCGTTGCGTAATCACGTTGAAACGGCTCGAGAGAACGTTTTAGATGCGTGGATCGTGACGGTTCACGGTTGTAGAATCTACGATTTGTATATTTCATAATTATTAGACTTTCTCTGGTAAACTGTTCGTTTCACTTTGGTAGGCAATTCTTCTAAAAATCACTTTAATCGTACGTGTCTTAGGAAAATGAGTTATTAATGGAATATTCGTTTCTGTTGGCTGTGTAATTTGTACGGAATGTTGACACAATACTATTCGTCGCGCCGATAACGATAAGAGCCACTGTACTCCTAGAGACTGCGCACAAACGATGCCTGACTCTCTACTGGGTGTCCAAAAAGCAACGTTTTTCCAACATGGAAAGTCGAACAGGCGTCTTATTTACGGAGAACAATTTTTATTAAACTAGAATCTGGTGTTCCATTTTACAACGTTAGTTTACAGTCGCAGTCCTTATCACTTCTTACAAAATAAATCAAAGTCTTAATCTCTAGAGATTTGTTTCGTAAAGTATATCTACATTCATCGCTATAGATTAAAAGGAAATGGATATGCACAGGATTGTGGATATTCTACAAGGAGGTATCATAGATTCCATTCACGAAAATCTAAGATTTTCAAATTGTGTTCTGTAGCTTGAAATAATTGAATATCAGCTTCAGCATTCGTAGGACAAAATACGTGTAAAAAATATATATAATATGTATAAATGCTTCTCGGAATAATTTCTGACGAAACGTTCCGACGAGACGAAAGACAACCAATCGACCGAACCCTCTTCGGCTCGCTGTACTCCCCTTTCCTATCAATAAATAGAAATTGTACAAAAATCGGGATTACACCTTCATCGACTCTTTCGCTGTTTAAGACTACTTTTATAAAAAAAAAAGATATTCAGTTCGTAGCGTTTATATTCGAGCTCTGCCCTCGAGAATATCGTTGTAAAGCTGCTCCGTGAATTTCACGTAGACGCCAGAGCTATCCAGAAAATAAACTGGGTCCGTAATCTGCGAATGAAATTCATAAAACAAAACTAGAAATAAAAAGGAACCAGAAAATTATGGACCAAGTGGAAGCGTACCTTTTTTATATTGAAACCGTCTTGCTGAAGATCCTTTTTCTTCAACTTAAACGTACCTGAAGACGTGAAAATCGTCGTGTGTTAACATTGAAGATTTGAACGACATGAAAATATTAATTACGATTGACACAATTACCAGTCATTGGTAGTTCCGACAGAACTCGAACGAAAAGAGGCCTGGCGTACGTTGGCAGGGTCTTCTTCACGCCCTCCGACATTTCCTTGATGTTCAGGGTATTCTCTGGGTCATAAATAGCGGCCATTCCAGCCTTCCCTTCCGCGTGAGGTACCTAGCGTTCATATGAAATATTCCAAAAATATATCTGGATTCGTATCTTTAAAGAGCACCGTGTACTTTTCATCAAGAATCACCTCTACACCATAAACAGCTGCATCCTTCAGTCCTATCACATTGCTGACAATAGCCTCCACCTCCGAAGTTGCAACGTTTTCGCCACGCCACCTAAGATGATCGTGAAAAACCGTTAAATACGTCGTGAATGGTTGAAAAATGCATAGTCTATACTTTACATAATTAGCAGACTACAATTTGGGAACATTTGTACATCAAGAAAACTCGTTCCTAGTCAGACTATCATGGATATAGCGAAAACGCTTACCTGAACGTGTCACCGGTCCTGTCTTTGAAGTAGAAATAGCCGAACTCATCCATAACCAAAATATCACCTGTTCGAAGAAGATCATAACGCTAAGTGTGCTACGAAATAGACTATTTTGTTTTGTTTGTTTTTTTTTATGAATCACCAACCAGAATTGAAGGCGCGATCGCCTTTCCGGAACACGTCGCGGAGAATCTTCTGCTCGGACGCTTTCCTATCCGCGTAACCGGAGAAGTCGTTCACCACCTTCTTCGGGTTTATCTTGCCCACGAAGATGCCTGGCTCGCCTATAAAAAGACACGAAAAAATCCAATATTAAACAATTACATAGATCACAACGACCATGAATAGGAGATAGAAAATGAACCTGTACAAGGTTCTTCGGTGAACTTACCAGCTTTGCAACGAACACAGAGGCCATCTGGTCCTCTCACGGGTTCTCCAGTTTCGTGATCAACCTTCAACAGAGCCACAGGGTACAAAGAGCCCGCGCACAACGGCACGAATCCCACGGCGCCGATTGTATTATCAATATTCACTGGAAGGTGGATGAATAAATTTTCTCTTCCTTTTACCTCTGACATATTACAGTAAAAGCTCTATGAGAGTTTGAACCTCAGGTCCGCTTCGAAACTTTCACGATGCACCGCGAATCGTTTCAAAGTAGAAACTCTCACGAGGAACTTCCTATCCAACACTCATGGAGCCATTACTGTATATCAACTCCAGAAAGTGGTAGTTACCAAGATTCGAGTTTCCTTCGGTGGCGCCGTAAAATTCGCCAATTTGCTTCACGCCGAATCTTTCTATGAAAGGTTGCCAGATGTGTGGTCTGAGCCCGTTCCCAAATATCAGACGAACTTTGTGCTTCCTGTCGCAGGGACCCGGAGGGACGGTGAGCAAATACCGACATATCTCGCCGATATACTGGGCGACCTATGGTCGGAAGATCGTTTTATGCAACGAGTGTCGAGTTTTTCGTAGAATGCTTGAAAAGACACACAAAACGTGTTCAAAGAATCTTACCGTGCATTCGTAATGAACGCAGTCCGGCCAGAACTTCGAGGCGCTGAAACGTCTTCTGAGCACGACCGTCACGCCGGTCAGCAATGCCTGGCCAACACCAATCAATCCTCCCGCGGTGTGATAAAGCGGCAGGGAATTGTAAATTCGATCGGTAGAACGTAAGTTCAACATGAATCGAACTCCACACGACATCAGCATGAACCTGAAAAGCGATATTCTGTCCTTGATTCTATGCACTCGATAGATTTCGACACTAAAAGAAACTACTGAATAATGCAATGTCACTCGTCGGCGGAAACAAAACTTCGAATGAAACACGCGTAAACGAGATACAGTGATTAACATACACAAAGTGACCAGGAACTTAAATCGGCACTTGAATTCGAATTATTTATGACCAGACTTCTGTGATCGTATGCATCCATTAGCAATACATACAGTGAGTCAAAAAAGTCTTTGGACAGCCTCTAAAACAGAACAACTTTTTTTTTAAATTGGACCAAGTAACTTGAGGTTTTTATTTGTGAAGGTGGAAAGATTAGTTTAATAAATGATGTGTAGAAAAATTTGGAAAAAGTTGCAATTGATTGGGATCGCGTAGAAAATAGTAGAAGTTGCTTTTTGTAACTTGTTATTTGAAACTGTAATGAAAATCTAATAAATACATTTCGAAGATTTATGTTAGTTACATACGTGCTGAAAATTTTATCGAAATCGGTTAACATTGCTATGAGATGCAAACGGTTAGTAAAGTTGAAAATTGCAGGTTTTCGCGACTTTCAACCACAACTATAATAAATCTAAAGATTCTTACATTTCGATGCCTTTTGTGTATTTTTATACCAACCGATTGCAATAAAAGCTTCAGCATGTATATAACTAACATAAATCTTCGAAATGTATTTATTACATATTCTATCTTAGATAAAAAAAAAGTTGTAAAAAGCGGCCTTTACTCCCAGGTAACACATAACGCCTTGAAGACGTGCATTTTACGGTTCTTTTAGATCTAAAGCGCTTTTAAGCCGCCTTCTTTTCCAAAATTTTGTTAACACATCATTTACCAAACTAATCCTTCTCACTTCACAAAAGAAACTCAAGTCACTTGGTTACAATTTGAAAAAACTTCTTCCGTTTTAACGGTTGTGTGAAGACTTTTTTGACTGACTGTACATAAAACGCTAACGAAGTTCAACAGAACCATTAATACATCAAGTCCCGCCGTCACAAGGAAGTTCATAAATGTCGGAATTTACGTAAGTACCCGCGGTCTATTCATCGATTCAGAGAAGCGCAGCATGGCATACGTTCACGAATCTCCATTCTGAAAAATACTGATTTTACGTTATCTGGGTAATTCGATCGGCGTGTCGTAATGTTTACAATAATTTCCTCCATGACTGGACGATTTTTTCTAATAACAACAGAGCTGTTCGAAGATTAAGAAGATCTGGTTCCAAAAGTTGCACCGATTACAATCCACTGTGACGCACAAGCCATCGAAAATCAGATTTATCTTTGTTCGTTCGAACGTTTTGCCGTAGCAAAGAGGACGCCGTACCTTAGATTAGTGATAACGGCAGCCTTCGGCAGCCCGGTGGTGCCAGACGTGTAGATGTAAATTAATTTATCGCGGGGTGTACCAAGAGCGAGCTCCTCGACGAGGGGCGCGGAATCGACGCGTCGAAGTTCCGCGCTTAGATCGGTCGCTCCTTCGAGACACGTCGTGTCTGGCAGTTCCGACGATTGGTAAAGTGCCAGCTCAGGGATTTTCTCCTTGATCTCCTTAATCACTAAACAGAAACGTTAGTTCATCGTTAGATCGATTTGCTCAGTCTTTGGATCGACGAAAACATAACGACAATCTTACCTTCTTTAAATTCAGACCCAAAAATCACCGCCTTGCAGTTAGCCGCCTTCATGCTGTGCACCAAAACATCGTGACGAAGGTTGGTGTTGATTAGAGCGCCAACGAAGCCAGCCTTGCTCAGACCCAGCCAAGTTCCCACGTATTCGGGCCTGCTTTCCATGATCAGGGCGACACTGTCCCCGCGTGACAAGTTTTTCGATCGAAAGTATCGTCCCAGACGATTGCTGTACTCTTCTAGCTACACAGGAATTTGGAGCATTACGTTGTTGCACGAGGAATTGATGTCCTCGAGGAGGCTGGGTCGTCGACTTACGTCTCGATAGGTCCATTCCTTGTCCTCGAATATGTAGGCTATTTTATTGGGATGGGCTGTGGCGTAATTGGAGAACACCCTAGCCACCGTGAGCTCTCGCGTTTCCCACCACCACAAGAGGATATTGACACGGATGAATCTGTAGGCGCCCCTGTTGTCAGAAAGAATGATTCTGTAGTTGTTTCTAGGTTCTTTTTATATTCCTGTTACTTGGCACACATTGCAGAATCTAAATCTCTAGATCCTTCACCTCGTTCACTGGAAAACTAAATCCCGTAATACCTTCACAGGATTAGAAACCTCTTTTTATGAGGTAACTTTTGTCATAGTTATCCCTATGCTTTGTGTTTAAGTAATGTAGCCAGAGAAACAATTTATCTACGTTGTTGTTTATCAAATTAATCTTTCTTGGTACTCGGTTAAGGAAATGGGGATAGGATTCTCGGGCAATTTGTTCCACGAGATGATCCCTGGAGGAGGAATCGTACGGGAATTGGGACTAATGGAGATTATAGTAGACCCAATCCCACAGATTCTACGCGACACGTTTTTGTTATGGGAAAGGGGTCACACGGAAAAGGATTGAATGAAACGATCAGTTGGGAAGCGAATTGGGTTACGGCCGATGATGAGGCTCGTATGTTTTCTGGATCGGTTCTAATGTCCCCCTTCCAACCACGTTCCCCTAACACCACATCCTATCCTCTCGGTATCAATTGGCTAATATCGCGGCATGACACGCGCGTGACATGTGTCACACGAACCCAACCTTTCCGTCATTGCTCCTTTGACACTTGTCTGATTGCGGTTCTATTAGCCGAAGGTGGCTGAAAAATTCTCGTTTACCGTCACGAGCACGTTTGCCTATGAATCGACGGACCTGATTTACGTATTTCCAACTTGTAGCTGAAAGACAAGTCACGATATTAGAAGTGTAGGCAATATGTGTCACCTGGCCAATGATTATTATAGCGATCACCTTGACTATTTCACTTTAATAGAAATTCTATTCGAACTGCACCGCATACCATAGTCAGGGAATTAAACCGGTATGATTTTGATACCGGTATTAAAATACTGGTTTAAATATTGATACCGGTATTAAAATATTGATTTAAATACTGGTATTCTTTCGGTTTCTATAAGGGTAGTGCTTATATAGGGTTATATAGGGCGAATGTACAACCGAAAATACCGGTATAATTACGTTTCGGTAGAAATCCCTGACCATAGTTGATCACAGGTTTATTCGAATAATAGATAGCGAAAAGACAGGATATCTAAAAAAATTTTCAGAATCAACGATTGTTTGCAGACATGCCTTCTCCTTCAAACACAGACGTTATTTTATCTTAAAAATGGAAACTGTCATGCTTATTCAATGATAAATCGACAGCTAGTCCCCTCGACTGTATCGTTTCCTATCTTCATCTAGATAGTGAATGAACTGGTGTAAGAGTAGCCGAAGGAAGACGAAGAAAGGGAATCAAGAAAGCTGGAAAGAGGCTCGGAAAAGACGCGAACGACGCGTCCCTGGAAGATTACGCCTTTGTCGAAGCTCTCGTATCGCGGTGAGCATACGACACCAATGGTCAGTCCCTTCCAGCGTGTCCACGGTTATTAAATGAAATCAAATAAAATAACGAAGCACGTTGCGTGACTAGGTATGAGGATTACCTGCGGCTGCGGTGCATCGCTCGCGGTTTCGCTGGCATGCGTTAACCCCTTGAGCCATTCCGTTCATTTGCACCTTACAGATCGCCAGGTATACGTCAAGTTTCTCACCGTCTTCGAGCCTGAGTAATCCAGTCTTACCTTTACAATTTCAGTCGCTCACACCTACCACCGGATAATTACATCTCTCATTAAAATATGTTGTGGCGACCCAACGCAGGTAGGCGATGGTCGTAACACTAGTCGCGTCTTGGGCCATCGACACGGTCACTAAAACGTCATAAACAGGGATTCCTGGACGGCTGCACATCACGTGCAAAATATTCACGGTCCTTAAGACCCTTCCTTATATTTCGGCGCTGACTTCCAGGACCCCAAGAAACAATACATACACCAAACCCCACTTCTTCCAACTCATACTACCACCTCTTGAACCACTTACACCAACCAAAATTCTGCATTTTCCACCAATCAAGAGTCGATCCGTTCCAGCAAGCATCTATACGTTCATTCATTCACCAGACAATATTCAACCGTCAATAAGAACACATCGATCAGTCAGAACACAACCAGTAAACACATATACATACATCACATTGTTAAGTTTATATTAAAGTCTAAGTGTGTTACTAAGTTATGTCAAATCATTTAAGACACATATTACTACACACCAGTACACCTTTCCAACGAGCTCCGCGGTATTAATTCACCAAAGACCAGTGGCTAATCGCGAGCTAATTCGCAAGTACACCGCATCATAATAATATGTCGATCTTCCTTTCATGTTCTAATTATTTTTTTTTAAATCACGTGAAATCCGCAGTACGATCATAACATTAACAACAGACAAACAAACTTGACAACTAAAATATTTTCGATTAACGGTATACATATTTAAAAAAGAATTCAAAAAGCCACATTACAGCGATTAATACGTGCCCATGGTTTTGGGTGCAAAAATTCAGCCTGAAAAAACCGTATCGTCCCGTAGGAAACTGCAACGGGTACACCGCTCCCGTGCAGGGCAACTGGGACCGTTCGCTCTTCGAGTCACGAATGGGGTAGCGCTTAATGGAATGTAAACGCCGGTATCCACTGACTCGTTCGCGGACAAGGCCATGCGCAAACCTGTTTACCCATTCGGCGAGCGTGAATTTTGCAAAATAATAGTCGACAACGATTATCACTCAAGCTCAGCGGCTAATGTAAACGATCTGCACGTGCATCGTGACACACGCGACAACCTGTTGCGAGAGACCGTTTCGACGCAGAGTTGGGCAGAATTTTATTCTAATAATGTATGTGAAAAGCAACAGTATCTAAAGGCAAATTTGCAGTTTTATACTTTGAATATGCAATGCAGATGATTCGTCCACACTGAAAGGTGTAAAAATGATTTTCGTCTATACTTCATGCAAGAAGATCCAATGTGAACATCCAAAGTGACCAATGAACAAAGTAGAGCCATTCTCTACTCCTGACGAATTGAATGGACTGTGGATGAGTCACCTACGAGGCAAATCCAAAGTGTAAAAGTGTAAATTCGTCTTAAAATCGTCATCCAGACCTTTAACCAGTTAATAAATTTTCACATAATGCCTCATTTTTGCCCAGAATCGTACGTTTTTAAAACAACTCATGATGTTCAAAATCTGAAAGATGGTAGAGCAACTCTGGTTTCGGTTTCGTGTTTGAGACAAGAAACTCTACAAAGATCGTCAAGTGGATGTTACAGATAAAAAATTTCGTCTCAGTGTTATCCGCGGAAACGTTCTTAATCAATTCCCATCGAGCTGCTCGCTCGCGGAATAAGGAAACAATTACGGTAATTGAATTCCCCTCACACGACCGTCGATAAATCGTCCGTCTGCGCGGAGTGCGATCGACGAACGACGGAAGGTCACGGTGTTCGCGATCGATGTCCTTTGATATAATCTTTGCCTTTCCCCCGCGATGGCTAATCCAAAATCAAATTATCTACGGGCGTGATGACATGTTTTCGAAAAAGGACACATTGTTCGACAGATTACGATGTTGTCACGGATTTATCGTTTCACTCTCGTTCGTGATCGTTTGGTTGATCTATATCGTGGACTTTGAACTTTAGTGCAAAAATCGGGCTCCATACTGCACTTCGACTGTTGTTTGAAGTTAGGTTTGATAGGTGATTACTAAATTTTCTTAATATACATTCGCCCATCTTTCGTGTCCATCCTTTTTACTTTTTTTGTATTTTTCTGTCGTAACTACATGTTTTATAATATGTACGAATTATTCTTTACTATGCCTACGTATATTATTATGAAAAGGGCAAATTCTTAATTATGCAAAATACACGTAGATAATGATACGTCGCGTAACATCGTGTAACGCTGAATGATTATCCTCACATTCGCTTGAAATAATTTAAATATTAATTATGCAGATATTGAAATGATACAAGGATATATACGTGCTTTTATTCTTGTGTTAATTGATCGCGTGGAGATGGAGCGCAGAAAGCAGTTTCCCTTGAGACACGACGCAAAACGAAATGCGTTTAAAATATACATACGTCACCGTATGCGTACAGATTTTCCTACGAATTTCGTATTACGGACCGTGGTATCCTTTTGCGACAAAAAAGAAAATGCGTAATTGCAAGCTAACCCAGATATTGAAAATGGGTTTAGAATGTCAAAACCGTCACTTATCTTATCACCATCGCTCCCTCCCCAGAGTATACCCAATATAACTGACAAACAAATCAAGCGTAACTGTTAACATTCATAAACAAGCTTCCAAGAACCCAATCTCACGCATCCAGCTCGAGATTACGAAATTTTCATTAATCCCTCATACTCGTTGCAATCTAGACCACCTGTCTCTAAAAAAACACGTACAGTCGCCTCCGAAAGTATATTAGCCGAAGTATACATGGCATATTTAGGTCGTTTTGTTTTTAACCACAATAGCCTGGATGCACCAATAAATGAACACGTATCAGTGAATGAACTTTATATATAAAAACGAGTAAATTAAATTATCAAAATAATCAAATGAATAACTATTGAGATTTTACAATTCCTTGTTTCATATTCAAACAATTTTCACGCTATTAGTTAAATATGTTCGTTCACTGGTGAAATCTGTAGTTTTTCTTTTCAATTTAATTACTTACATTTGTTCAATGTTTCTCATTGAAATCTGTACGTTATAAAAGCTGTAGATACTAAAAAAAATCTAATTTTCCTGTGCCACATATTCATTAGAATTATTATCTAATATTGTTACAGAATTGTTACAGAATCTCTTAAATGTTCATTAATTGGTGTGTTTACCCTACACAAGAATTAAAAACCTTAGGGTGTTTGTATAATTATTCCACGCAGGTGCATATCTTTTATCGTCTTTATTTTAACCACAATACCATAAGAATTGAAAATTTAGGTCTGTATTGGTCCAGTCGGTTTCGTCGAAAAGAAGACTGACCCCCAAAAAAATCGCGTGCGTGCACACGCGCTCGCGCTCACGAGCGTGATCGCGGGATCAACAACAATATCATTGAACAGGCTGTTTAAATTCCATGCACCGCGTATTAGCCCCACAATGGTCGGGTCGCAAGCTGTACAATGCGCGGGATGCATCCGCCGGTGAACGTGTGCGGTCTTCTCGGAGCAGCAGGTCGCACAAACGCGCGACACGACGACGAGGAATACTGGCACGATGTGTCAATCAATGGCCGGCGTTTCTGCGGGCTCTGATAAAATCAATGCCAAATTGACCACGATCTGGTCGACGCGGTATTATACAACGATCGGTCGGTTCGAAGTAGTGATGGGCGATATTTATCGATATATTTATACAGTAAATCCTCGATGACCGTTCGAAGGCTCTTCGACACTGAGAAGGAGGTCTCCAAGTGTAACGCTGACTGTTTAATGAGGTTAATAGTTAGTGGGGATATTTGTTTCAAGTGCATATGGCCATTAGTTTATGAAATATTTAATGTTCAGTGCCGAGGAGCCTTTGAACACTCATCGAAGATTTACCGCATATCGATATTTATTCGTCATTTTCCAGTTATGGTCTTATTTGGTTATTAGTGTAATTGTTTTCATATGATTACTTGGAATCTTAATTTAAATAAAATAACCTCTTAATACTATGCAAAAACTTTTACTTTAGAAAATTCTTCATGGTCCAAAATGATATTCTGTTGAATATATGCAACTTACTTTTTAATTGGTAAATTGATAGGATTTTCGGATCGATATTATGAATATCGATGCTTATTGAACTATAGTTTTTATGTATCGATATTTAACGACAAAAAATATATCGATAAGCATTATCGATATTGAAACCTATATCGCACATCTCAAGCTCGAGGTATTGCTGGTGAACGCAGCCGATTGCGTCCGGAAACGAAGAAAAATGCAAAAGCACGCGAACGATATCCGTGTCTGCCGGTGCAGAGGGATCGATTAAAAGGTAAAAACACATTAATATCACGTCACGTGAAATCACATGCTATCACGTTGATTATAATTTGTTTCCAAACAAATTTGAAACAATGGAGATACATATATTAGCTCACACTCTACGAATGTAATCACACAAGAATGTAGATTTTTTGTTTTACTATTACTGAAATTTGAATGGTACTTTTGGCGAACGTTATGGTGATTTTTAATTTCCTATAGATTGCATGATATACTATATTATGCTAAATTGTATTGTAGATTATGTATATTAGGTACTATATTATAATTTTTAGTATACATTCAATGCTAGTAATGCTCGTGTTAAACTCAGTTTTCCCCGTTTAGAAGTTAGAGAAAATAGAACACTGAAGAACCAGAGCGACGATTTTACAGTATGTGCCTATTTCATCAATTTAATGCCAGTATCTCAAACATTTCTTGCCGATCGACAGTACGAAACTACTTCCAATGACATCCGAACATTAGAAAAACTAGGTCTTACTGTTATTACTATGTTCGCTATTTATCGTGAACAAACACATTGTTTACATATAAAGAATATTTTTTTAAATGTCTTAAATATTCTTAAAATGGCTATTAATTCTTGATTTCATGAAAAGTAAGCAGGTTAATGTGTTTTTACATTTATCATGCTTCCAATTGTACAAGTTTGCAACAAACAGTTGCAAAAAAAAGATCGACAGATTTTTTGCAAAGCAATTTATGTTGTACAATACTTGTACGATAGATCGTGTCGTCTGTGGGCGGTTTAACGTCTCTATCGATCGGATCGTTCGCAAAACGCGTGCATGTCACGGAGTGAATACGATCGCACACGCGCCTCTGCTTTTCTTTTGGACGATGGACTTTCGATCGCGATCTCGCAACCTCGAGGAACACTCGCCAGACGGTTCGAGATAAGAATCCAAACGATCTCGTTACTGCTATCTTTTTTTGGAGAAGAGAGATCGTCAGAAACCATTCTGCCGATACTTCTTCCGGGTTCGACGTGACTGTCCCGATTTATACCATCCGTAGAACATCGATAATACAGCCGGATCTCGCTTTGAAGTTCGAGAAAACGACGTCTCGATCGTGAATGACAAACAAGTTGAATTAATGTTTGATGAAATTTCACTATATTCGGTGAAATGAACGTCGGGAATATTTAATGCGTCGATCCATCATGCCGTGACGCATTTCACGGAATATATTTACTTAATACGTACACTTTTCAGCTGCTGATGATCGAGTTCAACTGCGCATGACTCTATAGTAACGGAATCGAAAACGGTACATTGTACGCGAACTTTGAGAGTAAAAAAACGTTGAATGGCCGTAATGTGGCAGTCGATTATAGACGAGCCTCTGCACACGGGTAAAGAATTTTGTATAATTTGAAAGAATTATGGAATAATTTCTATGTATTCTTCGGTAGTTTGTAGGTTTGTACTGCATTCGTACGACTGATCTATTAACCCCTTGCCCTACAATATCGAGTCCGACATGTGATAAGGATTTTAAACTGAATATAATAAACGTGTATATTATTCGTTTTCTTCGAGTCGACGTGAAATACTGTTCCGCTGGTATTGACATTTAAGGTTTCGAATAAATGTAACACTTGCCATAAGAATAGAATTAATTTTGTGTCTGGGAAAATATTAACGATAAAGTAATTCTTGAGAATGAAGACGTACAAGAAATCGTATTGCATGGAATTAATAGCTCAAAGGGTGGATATAGTTGTACAGATGAAAGACAAAGTTCAATTCGCAACGCGTACGAGTCACGGGAAAAAGTGGCCTTTCTGACTGATACTTGTATGTAGACCGTCCTGCATCGTCGATCGCGTATAAATATCTCGTTTCACTGCTTTTTATGCGCTTTCTGTATTCCGCAGTCGCGTGCAACTTTATTACCTATTCGTTCGCGAGCACGTGGTTCCCAATGGATTCGCAATAAATGTCACAACAACCTGTCACCTATTTAATCCACCTATCCCACACGTTCCGATACCGAAGAGGCAACGATCCGAACAACGCCGTCCCCAATGACTCGTACTATTCTTATTCGATTGATTCCGATGGTATTAATTATTTCCTGCTCGTTCGATCGACGTTAGAAACCGCGCAGACGATTAGGAAAGTGGGCTATAGCTCTTCGATTCAAGATATTTAACCCTCTGTACTCGACTAGTCTAGCCTGAAGAGACAAAATGTACGGAGAATCAGAAAATTCCACGTGCAATTAAACCATCCCGGTTCGAAAGTAATTTCGCAACTATCATTAACTGATCCAACATTAAACACATTTCCAGAAATGTTTCCAGCTTATTCTACCATAGATCAACAGCCATCTTCGATCTTTTTTTTTTCTCGTATTATTGACTTTAAACCGCTCCCATAATCATCGACACAATTCACACTAGATCACCTGCTAGCAACACCGTTCGTCGAGTACGATAAACGAGCAAACGATACAAACCTAGTTCTAACACGGAAAGAAAACATTCACCCCGCGTTAATACTCACAGCACGTCTCTAGGTAATGTTTTGTAGAGCGCGTAAATGAAGCGTCGTCGGTTTCCAGTGAGCAGATAACCGGCGATAAACACGGACAGTGCCGTGAACACCAGTTCTTGGGCTCCCATGGCTACGCGCGAACGTGGGACGCAGACGAACTGGGAGAGCACACACGATCCTATCGATCGATCGATCGTACGCGTGGGCGGCTACCTTTCGACGCAGAGGATCGCGCGGTAGGCCCCGATACCGCGCAGCCCGCGGTTACAAAAATTGCAACAAAAAAAAAAAACGGTGTATGTATTCGGCTGTCAGAGAACGGGCCGGCTCGAGTCGCGAGCGAACGAACCACGACTGACAAGCACACCGCTTCCCGGCCGAACCGTGTATACTAGACGGCTATCTGCCGACGTGTGTGTATAATCATATATGTGTATAGATATCATGCATCGTGTATATACAGGGTGTCCCCAAAAGATGGGACAATCCGCAACCAGGATGTTCCTCGTGCAAATACAAATCGAAAAGTCCTTTACAGTTTTGTAATTTGAAACTTCATTTCCGAGATATTAAGGTAGCTGATGCATTTGGTGTCGTATCTAGCTGGGGTTCCAAATGGCGCTTTATACTTTTTAGCAATTTTACCAATTTAATTTTAATGATCAATGTTTGTGTTATTTGAAATAAATTTGTTAAAAACGTCGTTTGAAATAATATTTCAAATATCATTTCAGAAGTGCCCAGGTCTGGTCTGCGCGTACGTGTGGCCTCAACTGATTGGAGTTCGTTTAACCGCTAATATCTCGGAAATGGAGCATCGGATTACAAAACGGTGAAGAACTTTTCGATTTGTATTCGCATGAGGAATATGCACGTTACGGATTGTCCCATATTTTTAGGACACCCTGTATATCTCACCCGCGAACAGAGAGTACGGATCGTCATTGATGGGCCATTGGCGTAGCACGCTCCGCGGGAACTTCAGAGGTGACACACGACGCATTCGAAAACGCGAGCAAAGATCGAGAGGAATCGCCTTTAGAACGTGTCCTTTCGAAAGATTCACTGATCGGTGGACCATCGAGAACGTGCTAATTTATACGTCGTATAAATGAAATAAGTCATCTGTATCGAATGTTCACTGTCTAATCGTAATATCCCGAAAGGAATGTTTCCTTAATAGCTTTTTCCTTCGTATTTTCCCTTTTTTTCGTCGAATAAAGGAAATCACTTCCCTGGGAAGTAATAGAAAGTTAAGGAAAGGGTAGAGGATTATTATGGGATGCAGTATGGGAATGAATTTTATGTTCGATTCTTTGGTTAATTTCTCCCACGAAAACCGACCGAGACCGGTTCACGTTGGACGTCGTACCGCGTTAGAGGCAATCGTGCCCGGACCTTAATTGCACTATTTGCGATGACGCGCGTGTGCACGCTGCAACGTCGCGTTCGGCTGTTTTTTTTTTTTTTTTCTTTTCTTTACAATCGATCATTGAGATCAAGCTCGGCTGGCACGGGCAAGGAGTATCGATAATGTAAGATTTATCGCCGTGAAATCGAAACCGATTCGTTTTTCTATATCGATTCGGAGTGACAAACGTTGTTTCTCGGGGTGAACGAAAGAAACGAAAACGCGTGCGAACGCCGATGCGTTTAAAAATAACAAGGTATGTATTTATATATAAACTTATAGTTATAATACACGTATTGAATCCATGAAAGACAGGTACATATGTACAACGTACGCTCGCAAGCAATCGGATTTTTCAGTCTGGAGGGTAGCCTCGATCACGAGTATTTCACGACGATGGATACTGAAAACAAAATAAAAACGCCAGTGATACGTAACACGTGCTTGCTGATCGGGCCGAACGCGGGAAATCGAGAATCGAAGCGTGCGATGGCGGGGGTGCGAATCGAACATGAGAATGCGGGGAGATACATGGAGGAAAACGTTGCGTCTCGTTGGACCTTGCGGGGTTGCACTGAATTTTCCAGACAGCAGGATGAACTTAATGATCGTGTTATGTGACGCAAGCCAATCTAGCCAATTGTATCGTGATTAAAAAGCTGTGCACGGACGCGAGATAAGAAATAAGATTAGTGGAAAAAGAGTGGTGTGAGAATACCTGGAATCGAACGACCAAGGCTCGCTACATCGTATTCGCTATCTGAGAACCAGGTAAAGCACCATGATGTCCAGAACTGAAAACGATACGCCTCGGTCTAACTACGTGGGCTACGATTGAAACGATCTTTTTCAATGGCGACGAATGACTGACAGAACGAGAAAAGAATTGTTGACAAGAGAAGACAGAGAGACAGAGAGAGAGAGAGAGAGATAAAGGCGGGCGACAGATGAACACACAGACGGTTGAAATGCACGATTGATAGTCGAAAAGGATTTTAAGCATTCTGAATCGACTCGATGGGAAGCGATTTTTGTAAAAGCAAGTGTCATAGTTAATGGAAATGATATTATGTACTATGTAATTTCAAACAAGATCGATTAAGTATAATTTACGTAGGAAAATCGAATCCTCGACATTTACACAATTGCGTATTTCTGTTTCGAACCTCAAATGCAACGAAAGAAAAAAAAGGAAACACGAACATGCATCGAACATGCATATGCCAGCGAACGCTGGTTTACTTATGTACCGATGATGCAGATGACGACCGTCATCGTGATGGTGACAAGGATGATTCTCGTTTTAAAGTTCTGAAGCCACGCCTTTTGCTGGGCTCTCTTCGCCGCAGCCCTGAACTCGTCCCCGGCCATGGACAGACGATCGCTGGCCTCCTGTAATTCCTCGAGTCGATCACCGCGCTCCATCACCTTCTGCACATTGTTACGCATCACGTCGGTCACTTCTTGAATTTGCAGCCGAACGCTTGAACATGAAATTATTCGTTTCTTAAACTCATCGCTAGAAATTAACATTTTCAACCGACATAGAATTGTCTGAAGCAGAATGTTATGTAGAAACGAAGCACAAAAGTAAACTATAGATAGAGACCATATTTACCTGTCCATCTTTCCATCCGCTTTAGTACTGCTCGGTTCTACGGTAGATGTATTTGGTCGACTGAAAGTTAACAATGCCCATTGAAATACATTTGAAAATGTGTCGAAGATGTAATAATGTCATTGAACTCACTTGAACAGCATATCCTCGTCCGGGTCGCTGTCGTGCTCCAGCAACAGCTCCTGAAACAATTCGAGTCGATTCAAAATTCCCGCCGCGCAACGATATCTCGAGTCGACGCGTTATCGACGTCCTGCCGGGGGTAGAAACAGCTGCGGCCCACTCACTCTTTCGTCCTTGGCCGCGATCTGTATGTCCTGCCTGGATAAATTCCACTTGCTTGACGTTGCCATTTTCCCCTCGAATTATCCTGCGACTGGTGTTTCACCGAATGAATCGTTTATCCTGCCGCGAAACGGCCAGTTACAACGGCCTTAGATCAAACACAGATCGACCGCAATGGACGCGTAGCCATATTGTTACGACATAACCACAAACAACGTACAAGGATAGAGTGGATAGATCGGATATGTTTGCATATATTTTGCAGACAACAAATTTTTGGTTTTTCATTTGCGAATATGTCAAGAGTATGAGGGATAGATAATAAGATGCCAGGATATATAATAAGGGTGGCAATATAGAAGGAAAGTATTTCAGTGGATTAAGGAGATTATACGTATAACTAGCATCACTGACTAGGTATAGGATAGACCTATCATCTTATGGGACTTCGTGTCTCATGTTCTGAAATACCGATAGTGTAAAAAGTCAGGGATTTTCTGCTGCCCTCTACGTTATGAGAACGGTGAATTTGTGAACTACGTTAAACCATTCGAGCTTAACTAGTCTAACTTCTACAGTGTTATCGAGTCTAAAGTACGTAATGTTATCAGATCATGTACGTCGGAAAATCATCGAAGGGACCATGGTCGTGAACGGATTCTCCTCTGTCCGTTCGTTGTAAACGTACTAAAAAAAGGTCTTTTCACTTTATATAAAGCAGGCTTGGGTATTTTTGATTTGAAATGAAAACTACAAATAAAAAGAGCCAATATTTATTCCAAATAAAATAACAGATAAGTTTATTTGAAAATAAGGATGTATGCAAATTTTTGTACGAGAACACAAATTCCGACAAATCCGACCCCGAACCTGCACAAGCTCGGTGAAATCGGTATGGAACACTTCGTAGGTTCGTTTTTATTTTATTACTAATAATTCTATGATATATGTATATTCCATATATTTGTAGCATCCTGAAGACGGGTATTAACGAGCCATTCCACGTCGAAACGCACAGAACTGCGATCTTATAGACAGATTTTTTTCGAATTAGCAGCATTTGTTGATACCCACAAGAAACTAAATTGTGTAAAATTTTAGTTTCTAATCTTGAACCGTTTCCGAAAATTTCCCTTGCGGGAAGCCTTACCATAATGAGCCATCTCGTGGCCGCGGAAATCCGGGAATCGGGTGACGTCACGGTGTGCGAGCGAGAACGGTAAAGCGAGCCGCGGTATCGGTGCTCTCCGTCGGTGTTGAAGGAATTTCAGGGGTCTATGGGGGGAGGTGTGCGAGCGAGAGAGTACGGTAGAGCGTGCCGAGTATCGGTGCTCTCCGTCGATCCAACGCGCTAGTGAGTTGCGTCACCCAGTTTATTGACTTAGCCGTGTACGCCGTGTACCAAGGTCGTACCATCCCGTGCAGGTCTGTGCTTGCTTCCTCACTTTGTCGTGAACCGTCGCGGAGGGTGGTCGCGCGTCTCATACTCGTCCGTTCTCTTGTTACTAACCTATTGTTTGTTGCAGGCATTCGACAACCATCAATTTATTTACTGTGCATATTGTTGTGTCCCCTCTCTTGATACTAATCCCTTGTATGTTACAGATGTTCGAGAATCATTGGCTTCGATATTTATCTTCTTATGTACTGTGTTTCATTTACTGTGATTTATTTACTGTGCATATTATTTATTTATTTACTGTGCATGTTACTAATCTATATACTGTGCATATTGTTGTGTCCCCTCTCTTGTTACTAATTCCTTGTATGTTACAGATGTTCGAGAACCATTGGCTTCGATATTTATTTTCTTATTTACTGTGATTTATTTACTGTGCATATTATGTATTCTATGTGTATTGTATAATGAAAAATATTTTTCCAAACAGTTATTCCATCGAAAGAAGACATCGATCAACGTCTACATCTTCAAAGCGTGCGTCTACCACTGCGTTAAGTTACTGTAAGTTAAACTTAAATCATAATTCGATATTCATTGTTATATTCATATTCATCATCACATCGTTTATTATTAATTTTAGTCTATCTATTAATAGACTTAAATTGTGATCAGCCATTGTGCATACCAAGTTATTATTAATTCATTTTGCTCGTTGATTTCTCTACACAGACTTGGGGTATGGGCAGTGGGTCTGTACCTATTATGGTACGGGCAGTGGGCCTGTGCACTAAGACTGTTTGCCGATCCCTCTGGTTTCTATTGAGAAGCCAGATATCGGACGTGTTTAGTCTTTGCCTGGTAAGTAGGATTTGGAGTAAAGGCTCGTGCGCGCCTGGGTACAACGTACCCGCCTACGGAGTAGACGGGAGTCTGCTCCGTAAAAGGACTCTGTTTTACAGGGGATCTCGCTTGCACTACCATACTTGGTCATGACCTGTGCTCGGGTCTGGTACGTAGGTGACCAGCCCAAAGGGCCTGGAAAGTGAGAGATGGATTCGGGTTTGCGAGGTTGCGCCCGTCTTTCCTATTTTCTTAAACCAGGTTCTGGCGACAACACTTTCATCGCGATACTTGTTCATACTGTAGTTTAACGTGGTTCATCGTAGAATTAATTTTTGGCTTGGTATATTAGGTGCGTAAACGAAATGATCGATGGAACTTTTTCCATTCCGTCTATCTCTTTCGATTGAGCATTAGCGACTACATTGCGTTAAATTTGTTATTTCGTATTACTAGCATTAATTCGTATTAATTAGAATATTAAGATAATATTAGTTCTAAGCTGAAGAACGAAGACAACCGACGAGGGAACTTAGTTTTTTATAGGTTTAGGCTCAAGAAAGAAGTCATCCGCCGAGGGATTTTAGTAGCGATGGTATTAGATAGTTAAAGTTTAAGTTATTTATAAGGTTTATTGTGAAAGGTGGGTAGATGTGGAACTTGTGATTCCATCTACCTGCCTTGGGCCTCCACTCGCAGCAACCTCCTCGTGGTGAGGCCTGGGCAATCGGTAAAGTACTTTAAACTGAAGACAATATCGAGCTAATGGCTGCGAACTTCGAATCCATCTCATAAAACCACGTTCTATATTACATCGAACTAGGATTATTTTAGAAATCGATATGAGATTCAAAGTGTAAAAATGTCTAGTACTTTGAATGTTTTAGAAAATTATTCGAGATAAAGATGTATGGAACTACTGAAAATTACTTTAGATTCCTTTTCCTTATTCTGTAAATTCTTTGATTGGAACATGAATGCTGCTGGAAGTATGAACATTTTCACAGGACAATGATATAAATGGAACTTTAACACTTTTTTAAGTGTTACAGTGATATTTCGTTGGCCTCCGTATTAGCGCACTGCGCCGTACGCGGATAGCATGATGTTGTAGTCGCAAGAGAGCAATTGAATCGAATAAACGTATTGTACCATAGCGCATCGTATTGTATTTCAAACTTTTGTATCGTTATAATTTATATGTATATATGTATATTCCAATAAACATACGTCAGGCAATATAAGCTTCATTTCATCGAATTGTCTTAAATATAACTGCATAAATATTGTACAATCCTATACTAATTATAGTTGTCTGGTGCAACAGGTTACTACAGAAACTAACTACTGCCTACGTCTTTTAAACCTGGGCTGTAGTAGTATCTGCAGAAACTGCCATGATTGCTGGGGTTACTATACAATTTGTTCATATTTCGACAGTTGCACGAGCAACATTCGACCGACCTCGAGAGTTGTACGAGCAATAGCGATAAAGAATCACGTTTCAAAACCCTTACGCATGCTCGGGGTGTTCTATGACCCCAGGCTCTCACCACACGGGGTCCATGGCGCCTCCACCGGGGGCTCTGTGACCCCACGCTCTCACCACACTGGTTCTCTGGCGCCACCTGCGGGGGCTCTGTGACCCCACGCTCTCACCACACTGGGTCTCTGGCGCCACCTGCAGGGGATCTGTGACCCCACGCTCTCACCACACGGGGTCCATGGCGCCTCCACCGGGGGCTCTGTGACCCCACGCCCTCACCTCACGGGGTCTCTGGCGCCACCTGCCGGGGTTTTGTGACCCCACGCTCTCACCACAGGGGGTCCATGGCGCCTCCACCGGGGGGTTCTATGACCCCACGCTCTCACCACACGGGGTCCATGGCGCCTCCACCGAGGGCTCTGTGACCCCACGTTCTCACCACACGGAGTCCATGGTGTCTACACCGGGGGTTCCATGACCCCACGCTCTCACCACACTGTGTGTATTGTCCATCGCAACTAATTCCCTCTTCTGTAACTTATAAACCTTCCGTACGTTCTTCAAAGATTCATAATTTTTTCATAAGTTTGTCAACGAAATCTTCATTCCTGGGGACATAAGATACATGTGAGTAATGAATTGCAGATTCTTCTGCCAGATTCAATCTGTTATAATTAAATACATGTCGGTGATAAGAGAGTGGACAATAGTGAAATGACTTGAGACAACATCCGCTGGAAACTTGATGCTTTATTGCCGTTGCTCGTATAACTGTCGAATTCGGACTGACGCTTGTCCGTTCTACCGTGAACACATTGCATAATAATCACAGCAACAATGGCAATTGCTGCAGATACTATTATAGCCCAAGATTAAAAGACGTAGACCGTATGTAGTTACTTTCTGTAGAAATCTGTTGAGACAGACAACTACATGCAGTTAATATATATGTATGTACAAAGTTTACGAAGTTTAAATATTTGAACCAACTGGAAGAAATGAAATTTAACAACTGGACTCACTAATACGTTCGAAAAATGATATTACAGGAATCTACTGTTACACGCCGTCAACTATGTATCTAAATTGCTCTATGTATTTTGTTAAACAAAGGATGTAGACCCATAAATAAATTATTCTTATTATTATTATCTATATATAAATTATTATTATTACTCCTGTGTTTTGTTCTACAAGGGAACACAAATATCCGATAATGTTCTTCTGTATTAGCGTCCAATTAAGAAAAGCATGTACTAAGTAAATATCGATGAGAACGAGATTCCATCATGTGATTGCTTAATTCGTATTAATATCTATAATGTCTAGATTTATCCGGTAGTTGTATCACGTGTCACGGGTCGCTTGACTAGTGTTTTCATAATCAAAAGATAAAGCATTGCGGGGGACACTTATTATTTCATCATCGTGCCGAAAACATTCATAGCCACAAAACATTATCGAGATTGTACGTTTATTTAACAGAAAAATTTTAATTCGTCTTCTTTTAAATCATTCTGTTCTTTCCTTTAGCGTAATATAATCTTGGTAAAATGTTCTATTCGCATGAACGAATAAACTAATAACTGTGACGTTAATATTAATCTTAACAAACATTTCGATTTTCCCGGCTGTCTAACGGAACAATCTTCTGCAACCGTATCTCGTCGCGCGACCAATCGGCAATTCTTGTCCAGGACCTGTTCAACAAGTGTCGTGTATATACATATACATCGACAAAAACGAAATGAAACCAATGAAACGAAACACCGTGTGGCCAGTGATCGGTGTGTCGGTCGCACGTAAAAGCGATCGATTTCTTTCCTCGTTAGATATATCTTGGTAGGTATTCAGTGTTACATAAACAAATTGTAAACAAAACAAAACTCGAGAGAGAAAGTGAAGGGGCCGGCGATACGGGAACAGAATCCCCTTAGAACGGTAAGTGTATAATTAGATCGACTGTTTAGAAATTGTGGTATTCAAGCGAAAACATTGTAGATTATACACAAGGTGGCAATAACAGGGAAAAGTAACTGTGTTAGATAAAGTCCCGTATAAGACGCTTACCAAAGAGATAACGACATCCAACAGACCGGTTATTGGTTTCTGCACTGAACAGTACTGAATCTACTTCAGTCTTTTCGTATCAGCCGTCCAGTACAATAGTGGCGTTCGTGATGACCGATCAAAGCAAGAACCCTGTGATCAATTTTGGAGCCGGACCGGCCAAGATTCCGCACGAGGTATATACACCAAATAATTATGTCCACAGATTGAAGTCTTTTTACAGGCAAAGATACAATATCGAAACATTTTAAATCGTTATGAAAACATATTTCTAAAACACATAAACATGAAATAATGGTATAGAATAGTATTATCGTTATAAGGCATAAAATTTAGTATTGGCCAATTTATTAAGAGTGATAAAATATATAAATAGGGTATCATTCGTATAGAGGTCAAACTCGTTCCTACAACCAACGTGTGCACCGCTTAATATCAATCGAGAATAAACACTGGAGTAATTAAATACATTCTTTCGCATCAGATAAAACATTTTCTTTAAACTTAATTTGTTCTTTCATCCTTTTGTTCCCACATCTTCCGTCTGATTTATGCTGATCGATCGGATATTGTCTGGCTACAAACGGCAAAATTTATTCATTAAAAGCTTGTGTTTAAAACATTATATCTCCTAGTTTATCGGTCGTAAATATCGATCACGATAATATTTTTTATAGGTATTAAAGGAAGTGCAAAATGAACTTCTCGCATACGGTAACACTCGAATTAGCATTTTGGAGTTGAGTCATAGGTCGAACGAGTTCAAAAATATTATTGAAGATGCTCAGGCAACGTTGCGAGAAATATTGTAAGTTAACGTGAAAAAAGAAATCCATAATCAGTTATCGTATTTATCCGATAAATATTGCTTATTTAAATTTTTCAGACACGTTCCCGACAACTATAAAATCTTATTTATGCAAGGAGGAGGTACAGCTCAGTTTGCAGCCATTCCTCTAAATATGATGACCACTGGTACTGCGGATTACATAGTAACTGGTAAATTCTAAATCCGCCATGTTAGGACTCTTATAATTCTGATTCAAATTGCAATTCTATTGTATATACTCTTTCTTTAACATAAAATGAATTTTTAAGGATCGTGGTCTGCCAAGGCGGCGAAAGAAGCAGCAAAGTACGGCGAAGTGAACTTAGTTCTGCCAAAAACAACGAAGTACACTGAGGTCCCTGATCCCTCCACATGGAAGTTGAACTCAAATGCATCTTACGTCTATTATTGCGCCAACGAGACGGTTCATGGTAAATGTACAATAGTGTAATAAAAACAATACGCACAAACAATGATTTATTTACAGAAAATGATTATTTAAGGAATCGAGTTCAATTATATCCCCGAGACGAATGGTGTGCCCCTGGTTGCCGATATGTCGTCGAACATCCTCACGCGATCTCTAGATATTTCAAAAGTATGTACCATTTAATTCGATAACGATTAAACGAGAAAAATTTGTTGATAGGGAAATAACAACAGCGTGTTGTTTAGTTTGCAGTGATATTTGCTGGGGCTCAGAAAAACATTGGCCCGGCTGGTGTAACGCTTGTGATAGTGCGGGATGATGTTCTTGGTCATGCTATGAAGGTCTGCCCAACGATGCTGGATTTCACTGTTATGGCAGCTGATAACTCCTTACACAACACACCACCAGTATTTCAGTAAGCATCCTCGATAAAATCATGTTGCACAAAACGAATAATCGTTGTAGTCCTAAGTATATGTACATATGGTACTAGATTCGTTCGTGCAGTTACTAATACCTAACATAATACCATTGTTTATAAATCTATTTCGATTGTTAGAGTGTACACAGTCGGATTGGTTTTCAAATGGATCAGAGAGCATGGAAGTGTTGAGGGAATGGAAAAATTAGCCATCCTGAAAAGTCAGAAAATATACGAAGTGATTAATCAGTCTAAAGGGTTTTATTCCTGTCCTGTTAAGACTGACGTACGGAGCAGAATGAATGTACCATTTAGAATAGGCAAAGACGACGAAGAGCTGGAGAAAAAGTTCCTTTCCGGCGCGAGCGCACGCGGGATGCTTCAGTTGAAAGGTCACAGGTCAGTGTATCTTAAAAAATAGTCTATTAAACATTAGGTATCATTGAAGTTTATGCATAAATAATGCCATTCCAGGATTGCCAGCTTTCTATTTGTACACATTAACCATTATTCAGTGGAGTATATTTTTTGTTACAGATCGGTAGGTGGAATTCGGGTATCTTTGTATAATGCTATCACTGTAGAAGAGGCAGAGAAATTGGTAGAATACATGCAGTGGTTTTTCAATGAACATTTTACGAAGGATTAGGTGAATTATAGGACAGCCTATAAGAATATTATCTCGTAAAAATAATTTGTATTTACATACAAAATATTATTTTTGCACATTTTATATACAACCTTTTATACACTTTATACAACTTGCATTCCATCTGTTCAAACGCGAGAATATTTCGTATTTAATAGTAATATTCATCATTTTATTGAGTATTATATATTACCACACCAATTATAATTTTTTTTAAATGTTTTCCCGTTTTTTATGTATTGAATAAATGTTGGAAGTATCAATTTATTAATCAGTGACACTTTGATAAGGACATTTTCTTACATCCACACACCTCTCGATCCCTAGCAACCCGATTTGCATATATTAAATCTAATTCTCTCTCTAGAGTAAAATTAGTTTTACGACATCCATCTATCACAGCTTTGGACCACTGTAAATACATTTTGTGTAAGTTTGTTTAATAGGTAAGTTTGTTTTTCTTTTATATGAATTACCTTGAAATATTCTTTCACTCTTTCTGCTGTCCATCCAACTGGGGTGGCTTTTTCGATATCCCTCAAATTATATAATTTATCAGCTAAAGTAACTAATTTAGCTTTATAACTTCGTTTGGAAGCATTTTCGATTTGTAGTCTCTTACGTTCTGCTTTTGGTAAGCTTTTATCATCAGTTACTTCTCTAACAATACCGCAAACCTCTTTACCAAATTCATTTTCTATTTGCTCAAATGTACAATCTGTGTCTTCTACTGTATCATGTAATAGAGCTGCTAAAATTACAGGTGGATCATAAATGTTGCCTTCTTGAATCAAAATATTTGCAACACCTAGAGAAAACATATTGATTGTTTAAAATATTAGAACTTACATTTTTCCAGTTTTATTTTCTTTAATTTACTGTAATATGATTTGGATTTTAAATGGTTACAAACCTATAGGGTGATTTATATATGGTGTTTCTTCAGTATCTTTCCTTCTTTGATCCTTATGCTTTACTGCCGCAAAATTTACGCATTTCATTACTAGCATTAACAATTCTGCATTAGAGCATTCTTTGACGCATGTTTTACAAGGGCCATATGTATTAAATAGATCATCTCCCACAAATGCTGCAGAAATATTGTCTTCCATAGCTAATTTGCTCAACAACGCTAAAATCTTTATTCACATAACAAAAGTCACTTTACTTGTTAACCTAACGTAGTAAAAAAAAAGATAAATATCCATACCTACGTAACTGATGAGGTATAAAATTCTTTTAAATCCATAAATATATCAGTTACCTCAGCTGATGTTAACGCTGATGTTAGTTTCAAATTTTTAGAAGAGAGGAGCAAACGTCGGGTCGATGGTACATACGAAACATAACCTGGAAACCAAGAGTTGGTGTTGTGTTTTGACAGTGTAAATTGTGTCTCAAAATGTCACTTAAACGAAAACTAACACAAGATGATTTGCGTAAAGCGATGAGTGAGCACAAAAAGAAGTTAGGTGTTGTCAAGAAAATCGAATCACCTTTAGCAAGATATCCTTTTTATTAAAATGTAATATATTTTAAGGTTAAGATTTATGTTTCTATTCGTTTATGTCAGAACTGGTATTTCCGGAATATGTATATTTAATAATCGGTTTTATATATGTTATATGTTTTCACTTCCATTTAACGTAACTGAACACAAATTAAATAATATACTATGCACATAATCTTAAAATTTTTTATAAATCCTTAACCATGGTAAACACATATACAGATGTAGGTCAGCTGATGTGTATTTTATGTAAAGTTATTGTGAGGAACGAAACAGCTTGGCCAGTTCATTTAAATTCAAAATCGCACAAAGAAAATATAGAGTTAGCAAAGAAAACAAAATTAGAACCAATAGCTCCAAAGACTACAACACACATGTTTAAAAGGCCTATATCTCCTTCTCAAGAAGTTTCAGCAAATAAGAAAATAAAAGGAATATTAAAGAATTCCTCACCACAGTCAACACAAGTAGCATCTAGTTTGCCACCAGATTTCTTTGATAAATCTCCTAAACAACCCAATGGTTCTACAGCATCAAATACATCTATAACAACACATAGGTCAGGACATAATAAAGACTCTTTGAATGATAAAGATATAAAGCCCTTTGAAACAGAAGAAGAAAGAGAAAAAGATAAAAACAAAGATATAAATCCAACAATCCTTCCAGAAGGTTTCTTTGATGATCCAGTTCTGGATGCTAAAGTATGTATATTATAGGTACGTAATAAATTAATATAAAATTATATATTCACTATGGGTGTTGTATTTATAGGTACGAAATGTTGAATATAAAAATCCAATAGAAGAAGAATGGGAAAAGTTTCAAAAAGAAATTAAAGAGGAAACAGCACAGTCTGCACAGATCATTGCAGATGATCAGGAGGAAGCAACTACAGAAAGACAACTAGATGAGATAGAAGAGCAGATACGACATTGGTCTAGGTAATTAAAAATGAAATCAGTTTTTCTTTAATAAAGACAAGTATGTATAATAAGTAAAACATTGTTTTAATAGGGTAATGGATCTTGTAAAACGTAAGGAACAGGTACAAGCTACTGATAGGAAGCAAAAGAACGCGGACGACGATGTCTCCAGTGGAGATGAGGCTGATTTCGATGAATTTCTCGATTGGAGAGCCAAAAACTCATACAAATGAGACTAAATCTTACTCTGTACAGTATTTACAGCCTGTAAATATTTAAAAATGTGCTACTTTTAAGACTATTTTACCATTTAGAGTGTTATTATATCAATTGGTTTTCATATAAAATTCCTAGTATTATTTGTACAAAAATACAAAAAAACAAGAAAGGAATAATACTTGAACAACTTATTTTATTCTCCTCCTTATCCACCTCTAAAGAAAACTATGCGAGAACATTAAGACCAGTTCATACAGTGTATTAAGAGTTTATTAAAATGAATTCGAAGAGTTAGAATATAATTAAATTTCAGATACAATTGTAATAGATCATTAATTATACGTTTACAAGCTATAATATGAAATGTATAATATAAAGGTTACAAGGTAGGCTAAGCCGCTAATAAAATAGTGTGGGGTAGTATATTGCCAAAAGTTCAACGATATTGATATATAATATATATATATCCACTTTCGTTACGTACCGGACACATTATAAAATATTGAAAATTGAAAAAATGAGAGACTCGCATACGTTTTACCCGCACCCATCCACGCCATTACCTAAGAAACTTTATAATCGCTACACGATATCCTCGCGTCGAGTTCGTCTAAATCTCTGTCTCGATACATTATAATCTCAGAAAGTTGCTGGCTAAAAATCGTATATGTATAATATGATAGATATATCCTTAAAAGTTATCAACGTTAGCGCGTAATCGATAGAGCTTAACGGTTTAGCTAAATGGTTTCACGAATTGCATTTTCTCAATGAGCACATGTGCGTATATATTAATATATTATATATGCATTACACACGCGTTCCTCAAACTGTGTATACAATAATAATAAAATGCTAAGTCGAATCACAATTGTTTTACGTGAACCGTCCCGCCAGTCGAGCCCACAGGACGGATCATAATCCGAGAAGTGAACGTAAAAGAGTACGATCGGACGAGACTTCTCTATGCCCATATTCCGTATAGATATTCTACCTCCTTGAAGCATTAAACGTACGTACACGCTATACGGTAGTTCCTTAAAAGCAAGCGGTGTCAGTGATTACAATAATTCGTTTTTAATAATATTACGCGCGCGCGTGTTGTGTGTGTACGTGTTTGTGAACAGGAAACGGATACTTGATCTGAAAAGAGTAACGCTCAGGAAATTCGGACACGTTCTCTTCGTGCGGCTATGTAAAATCGATTCGAATAATTCAATGACGGTTTATTTAGTGCTTGAGTCAAAGGTGCCGTACGGGGTGAAACTTGCAGCAGGATATTTACAAAATCGCGAAACTCGTAGGCGAACAAGAAAGATCACTTTCCTAAACGACGATCGTCGTATCCCCCCCTCGACGAAAAAGATGGCGGCTCCCGCCACGAGTTTCCTCGTGAATCGACGATCTTTCTCCGTTAATTAAATCTCGATTTCCTATATCACCAATTGGAGGACTACGTCGCGACAATAGGTATGGTCTAATTTTGATTTCAGGACGTTTACGTCATTATGTCGACGAGAATCGGTCACGAGTTTCTCGTTCGCGTCGTGACGTTCCGGTTTCTCGACGGAAATCCGGTGTTCCGCCATGACGCATCGTCGATCCCGCAATGATGATCAGTAATTGGTGGTCACGATGTGTGTTACCTTAACGCGATCTACGTACATTCGTCGCTAAATGTCACACCTGAATCGTCGAGGTCAATTCCACGCGGAAGTTCAAGTCTGTCTTTCCGTGGGAACGAAGATGGTAATCCAAACACTTCCCCATACTTGGATTACCGTATCGTTCGGCCCCCATTCTGATTTGCGAGAAAAGCTTCCACACTCGGTGCTCGACGATTCTTCGAATGTATCGCGCGAAACCTCTCAAAGGGTTTTCCCCACGGTGTATCAATTACAGATCCGTCGCTCGATGATACCGAAAAGAGTCCTTTCGACTCACTCTTTCGTGTTCACGTATCTCGAAGTAGTCTGGGGAATTATTTGATTTGGAACGGGACCGGGAACGAAATTCTAATAAAATCGGACGAACAGCTACAAGTTCCGTGACGGTCCAGACAGGAAAGAATGCCCCAGTGGCGTTTTGTTCTCCACGCAGAGCAACGGAGAACACGAACGGAGGCGAGATAATCTACCGAGGGAGAAAAAGAAACCGAGATACAATCACCGTGTTTTCAATATTGGACCTGTTTATCGATTATCGTGTAGAGTAGTATCTCCCAACACCGGGATTGCGCGCGCGCGAGGAACCAATCTCCATACGCGCGCAAAATACAGAGAGACGTACAAAAGTGAGCGAGTGTCTGAGTGATAAAGACGGAGGCACCCTGCTTGTTTCGTTTGGTAGTTTCAATTGTGTTTTCCTATCGTATTTAAGGGTGGAGGGAAACTAACGGCTCGAAAGCGTCTTAATTAATAAATTACTCGAACAATTTAACGTATCGTTAACTCTAAGAGTGTCGCGAGCGGACGATATACTTTCCACGGGTCGTACGAAAAAGTGTGTCGAAGATTCGTCGCTTCGACCGGAGACGAAGAATCGGGGTTCGAGGAGGAAACGTTCTATCCGGAAACGGAAACCTTCCCCGAATTTCGTTCGCCGGATCAGACCGAGTCCTCGTCGGATGAAAAATTGATTTCAATTCGACCCTTAAATTCTTCCTTCCTCTGGCCTTTTTATTCCCGTTTTTAGTTCTTTCCTTAATACCCCGGCCTCTGCAAATAAGTTCGTCCGCTCGAGTACGAAGCTCGACTGACTTTCTCACGCGTTCGTTACACGATGACAGATTAACTGGCTAATATAATGTGTATATATATATATACGTATGATGATAGTTCTAGCATAATCGTTGAAAAAGATCCTCCTATTTTCTCAGGTTCATACCTCGACACACGTGTTATACAAGATCGGCCTGGTGCGCACGATGATACTTAGGTGCGGGAAGATAATAGCTAAGCGAGTCGCCTTACACGATTTTAAACGCTAATTTACCCTAGATATTAAGTGTTTAGTAACAACGACGGTAGCAAGAAGAATTCTGTTGTAGCTGTACGTTGCACATAGATCACAGAGTGGATACAGTCACTAGGCATTCCCAAAAAAGTAATCTACAAATAGTGCAAATAGTGCCAAGCCTAGTATCATGTATATGTGTATATATATATATATATATTTCTTTTTTCTTGTACTGATATTTATATACGTATCTATATATATATATATTTTTATATTTAATTAATCTCAATTCTGTTTCTTTTTTTTTGCGTAAACGCTATACACGCGAGAGCGCAGGCACTAAATTGTTGAGATACAATCGTACCGGACTATCGATGATCTTCATTTACTTTACATATTTATTCGCTTCAGACACAAAGAAAAATGAATTCAATGTGTGTGTTTACGCGCGCAATGACTTCCGTGTATATGTGTGTGTATGTAAATGTGTATACAGATTATAGATCGATCGAAATTTCCGAGAACGTGATCTTGTGCGATTAATAAAGATAGTTGTAGAAACGCGTCATATCGATATACGTGTTTGGTGCATCCTACGGCGAGAAGTCCTCCGAGGGCAACTCGATCTTGCTCCGCGGAAACTGATTCAACCGTTAAAAATTCAATCGCTTTACACGTTATTCGCCACACTAGTATATTGTACGGCGGTGGGTTTTCTCTGATCGACTAGACTCAACACTCGAATTCCTCTTTCCGATTGGCGTTACGGTGTTCTGTCCTCTATAATTACAGTCTAATCGAGACTATCAAGTGATCTTCGTTATTCAGTGAAAAGGACTATGGCGTGTCTAATATCCCGTTTTTAATTAGACGGTCGATCGCGAGAAGCGTTAAAATAAAGGATGATCGATCGTTAAACGGTCCAGCGCAGTGATGAAAGAAAACTTGTGTCGCGAAGAGTTGAGCTATCTCTCGTTGCCTAGATCCACGCGCGACTAAGATCGGATTTTGAATCCTGTATGTACGTATGTATATGTGTGTGTGTTCTTATAGTGAAAACGGAATAGAGCAATAACGCACATAGTGCTTTGGGATAAACACGCGACACGCGCCGCGAGTTGGTCGCTACACGCTATTCTCAGAATGTCGGCTCACAAACACTTTCGTCTGGTCCCTTTCGTGTTGGCTTCTCGAAAAAAAAGCGGCGTCGATGAGAACACCTGCCGTGAGAGAGAGCTCCTCATTCGCCTCGTCAACGGATCGCGGGCCATTCGGAGCCGGTTCTCCCACGAAACTTAATCTATCACCCCCGTTTTTCTTCGCGTCTTGACGAGCCCCGGATTCGTCCGAATCTGTGTGTGGTTTCACGCGTAGATTCACGCCGTCAGACCAGCTGACGCGATCACAAAGAATCTTCCACCTGTAACTCGCCTTATCCTAGGACAACCGGAGTTCCATCTTTTAGTTCCAGCCAACTCGATCTTTCGGACGACTTACAGGTTATTCGAGTATGCTTTTAAATGGTGAAACAGTAAGGACTTGCGCGCGGACTGTCGTAGAGGTAAAAAGGTAGGAACGCGATGGATTCCGTCGAGTATCTTTGGCGTACGCGCGATCCGATCGAATCATCCGGTTGAACGGTGGCGCTGCGATCGCCGCGGCAGGGATCGCCGCCATTTTGTCCGTAGATAGGATGTCGGGGACGCGGAACGACCGATTCGAAATTCGAATTTCGAACTCGTCAAGCATCGACACGCGTACAGAGAGCGTCGCTTATAAAATACTGAATTTATTTATTAGCTAGAGAGTGATTAGCGCTGAAGCAATGCATGTATTTCGCGCGCGGGGTGTTCGTTAAATGACGGAACGTACACGCTTGTCGTTTGGTCCGAAATAACGTTTACGAACGATGCGAAATCCCGGCGAACAACGGTGGGACAATCGCGCATATTCCCGCGATTCCGTATTTCGCGCATAAAATACATAAATAATGTATTTTAGCGCATCGCGAGTTCCACGACGAAGTTTCGGTAGCAAACGAACTAGATCAGAGACGGAAGAAGTTCTGCTTCGCGGTGATAGAATGATTCGTTTATTTATCTAAGCGTCTTTTTTTTTTGTCGTAGAAAAAGTTACGTTTTTCTTGCGTCTTTTTTTTTTTTTGAATTCTTCTTCTCCCTTATAGACAGCGGAATGTGAAACGACCTATCTACTCGAGAGTCGAAGTTCGAAGATTGCTTTTCCCGGTGCGATTCCTTTCATTTGTGCAAGAACACGCGGATTAATTATGATATGCTCCTGTAATTTTTCATCTCGTTCGCATCGAGTCATGTTTCACCGGGTCCCGTCGTTTCAGCGGCGATTCATCGAAATCACGATTTACCCGTTCTTCGAGCATATACACCTTTCTTAGATTAACACGCCGTCGAATGATTCACGAGAGACAGGAGCGGTGTCACGTGCTTCCACTGCATACGAGCCGGTTTTCGCTGTCGATTTACACCGACTGGAAAACAGTAAACCGGACACACGGCCCCTCGGGCAATTAAAGTTAGAGAATGATTATCTCGGTAAATAATGATTATCTCAATTGTAACATCGTTTCCTTCGATTATCTGAGAGTCGGATCGGATCGTCGCCCTTCGCTGGGCATCCGAATATCGAAAAACGATAGTCTCGATGAAGTTCTATCGGGATCGCTATTGCTAACTTGCGCGGCTTCGTTGTCGCGATAGACCTAGAAAAAGTTTCGGTATCGAAGACAAACTGTGTCGATCTCGCTAAAATGGACAAAGGGAAATAACAGAAAATGGCGAGAAACGTAACGTGGGGAATTGTGTGAGAAGTTTGCACGTGAAAAATAGAGTTTCGTAGACGGTTTTCGTCTTCTTCGGACGTTTTCCCTCCGACCGTCCGTGAGTGCTGGGAACTGAGAGGGTTGGGAAATTCTTTTTTCTTGTTTTCTTTTGTTTTTCTCTTTCATTCCCCCCCTCCCTCTCTCTCTCTCTCTCTTTCTCTCTTTGTCAGATTTACGCCTTCGCCTCGAAAATTTCCACGGTGACGTTATCCAAAACGGTTTCCGTCATGTTACTCGGCTGGTTCGGCGGCGACTTGTTCGATTTCGTAGAGACCGCTGACGCGTTCCCGCTGCTCCCGCGACTTCCCCGTCGTGATCCTGTTCGTGACCCTGGCGACAGAGATTTTCATGCTAAAGTATCGCGTGCTTTGGCTCGACGGCGATTCGACATGACACGAAAAGCCGGAGTAAAGTTTTTAAGCATGAAGAAACCGCTATCAGGCTCTTTGTCACGGTTGGAGAAACTGTAATGGCGGCCAGTGGTGCGTTCGTGACCGAATGTCCCATTCCGAGGACATTTCCGTTGTCGTCCGTTTCGTTCATGGATGAATGAGAATCGATTAACAATTGGAGTTTTTGCAAATTTCACGTTTAGTCATATTTTTTTGGCTTCTATGCATACTTAATCGCGGTATTCATCCAATTAACGGATAAACCTGAGCACACTTTGTGTCTATTAATCAGTTTTCTTTTCGCAGAAAAAGTACGTAGTACAACAATTAGGAATTCAATTTTTCAACGAAAGATTATGGTTCTATCGTGGAAAAATAATTTCTAATATGTATTGGCTAGTGTTTCTTTGTATTCTTAAAAAATCCTTTTCCCAGTGAATAGAGGTGAATCGAGATTAACAAACGATGCGGAAACTCGATGATCGATAACTGGAAACAAAAAAATTTAAAGACTCCGTACGTTTACTGTAGGGATTCCAATTAAAAACTGCATTAACTTTTCACATCTCTGCTCATTCTCTGCTCGTCGTTTATTCCGTACCGAATTTCCATCGGTGAAACGAAAAACGTAGAAGGTTTTTGGAAAATATCCGAACGTATCGGGTGGACATCTCGTTTAAAATGATGGAATTTTTAACCGACCCGATTAATATCGCCGCGGCATTCAGCATCCGGGCTTCGTCTCGTTACCGGTCGCCATTACGTGCGCGTGCATGCAATCGTCTAAATCTAGAAGTGCTCAAAAAGTGAAACTTGAAATTGTGTTGTATACGAAATCCCATCGGGTCCGCCGGGACATTTTATCGAAGAACAAGTGCAGGCGAGCATGTATCGACGAAACTACGGGTTAATAACACCGTTTCACGCGTGTCACCAACGCCCCCACCCGTGCTCATTATTCATTTCCGGCGGAGCCGATCGACAATCTCTCTACCTTACCGTGTACAATCGTGTCAATCAACCGAGTCGCATTCCCTCGAATGCAATCACGGCCCGTTTAGAGAACTAAGTACTTCAGAACTCCGTGCGATAATGGAAATGTACCCGACGTGTGTGTATCCATTCCCGTCGCCGCAGCTCGTGTTCTTTCGTAACTCTATTACAAACTTGCTCATACTACTCGCGGGAGGAAATAAAAAATCCCACGGGAAAAGTATCGAGACATTCGTCTCGAGTTTAACAGTTCACGAAGTGTCGCCGCTGTCGACACGATGGTCGATTAAGAATATATACATATGTACATATATCGGATCGTCTCATCAGTCTTTATGTAATTATCTGTGTAAGCTTTCGATAAATGGTATAATCAGGGCCGGCGCTACCATTAAGGCATTCTAGACAGTCGCCTAGGGCATAAACCATGAGAACGCGGAAAAATCCAGTCGGTGTTATTGAACGGTGCAGCAGATATAATAATACCATTTTGTTTAACGTAATGAATAAAAATATACATACGACCAAGGTTGAACACTTGATTTGAAGGAACTAGTAGAACATTTAGCGAGGTAAAGGACAAGAAAAATTACATTTTAATTTTATGATCTATGTGTAACTTGTTTTCTGCAATTGATACTAAATATGTGGATTCTAATTATCGTTTTCTTTTTTTATAATTTCAATTTAAAAAAAAATATTTTATACTAATTGTAAAATAGGGGGCGCGTTAATTAGCTTGGCCTAGAGCGCAAAATAACCTGGCGCCGGCACTGGGTATAATACACATGTACGTGAACGGAACAGGTGCAAAAGTGAGCACAACAGCGAGGAGGATGCGCGGGACGGGTCTAGGTTAAGTTACCAATTTAATATTGTAAGTTGCTGCTGTGTGGATTACATTCCGTATCGCTGTGGTGCATTTTATGGAGGTCATTGATATTTTTGTAGATTTACCATTCTTGTAGATCAGTGATGTCCATACTAAACCCCGGAGATTAAATTCTTTCCCACCATTTTTTAGATTATTTTATCGCAAGCCGTTGGCTACTGTCGGTGCTAAAAAGCAATACTCGTGGACATCACTGTCGTATACGATTAACGATCTTTCCATATATGTACCTACTTTCCGTCTACCGGAACTCAGCCGTGCCAAAATACGCAAAGACTGCTGAGACGACCAACCATAATCCGGATTGTTATTTCCTCTCGTTTCTCGGTTTTACCGCGTATCACCGAACGAATTGCTTCTCTAGGCCACGGTCGTCTATATGGTAACGTTTGAACGCAATCTCACTACACGTACAGAGACGCAAGCAACGTTTCTTTACTGTAGCAAGCAACTATAGTCGTGATCCTCGAAAAACGTTGGATTTAGAGGGAACTCTCTAGTATATACTATATTCGGGTCGAGAACGATCGACAAACAACCCACCGATCAACTAGGCTCGAAGTTCTGACGTATCCGAAAGAGGGTAAGTACCATTTTCTGGGGCTATGTACAAGAAACACAGAAACACGCTACACGATACACCGTAAACAGAATAAACAATATGTATATACATATATATAGTGGCTCGTAAGTGGGTTTACGAAACTTACCCTCTTCGAAGGACGCGTCAATTTGAAAAGTTTTTTTTTTTTTTTTTTGTTTTTACAATAGAGCACCTCATAGGTCCGCAGTACATGATAATTCAAGATTTAACGGTCACAGACGGGATCATTAAACAGACTACTGCTATAGATGGTCGACTGCAAAGAGAGTCAAATCCATTAAAAGAGATACATGATTATGGCGATAGGGATGCATCGTTCTGGCGAGACTTCGGGTAAGGGGACAGGGGGTTACACAATGCTGCTTCGACGCTTCGTAACGATCGATTCTCAATGATTATCTGATCTTCTTACAATTAATCGTGATTTTAAAGGCCGTGTCGGGTGTGTTTGATGGTTACTTAACAGAATTTTTGTAAGGGATGGATGGTTTCGCATAATCATTCACTTACTAATTAATGCAAGATTTATCGGTATAATGTAGTAATCTATATTCGACAATTTTAATCTTGTTATTACTCACTACTATTATTACATGCGTATCTGCCATGAACTTACGAATTTTTTTCTTTTCGCACGATACTTGGTCCCGTAGTTTCTTTTGCAGGCAATTAAGTATCTTGGTTTTTTCTTTTTATGGTTCTAAGGATCGATTGTAAAAAGTGTACGCGACTATTAATGCACACACGTTGTCCAGTGACTAGCGATTGGGAACGCCCGTAATGCTTGTTCAGTCACAACGATGCATCCAGGTGTGACACATCGGTCTCGATGCACACTGGGGTATAGAACGTGTTTAGCAGATATCTACCCTCTTGGCAGGCAATTGTGCATGCGAGAAATTCAGAAGGATTCTGCGCTGAACAGAAGGTTTCTAAAGTAGAGATAGGCAAGAGTAGGTAGTCACCTACTTTTATGTACTCGTATCTATATTGTACATATATGGGATGTTCTACGGAAATCGATAATAACGGGAGACAGCTATTTACGGTGGCGGTTGATCCAGCCGTAAGAACTAATCTCACCCCCTCCTTTGGTTGGTCGAGTTCGTTTCATTGCAAGGGCTACCGTTACCGTGTAACGATAATAATAATCGTTGTTGCGAATAACAACAAAAGTGTGCCTGGACCGTTCACTTCGACCGGGGTATGATTCGTATTAAAATGCAAACAGAGGGTTGCTCTACTTTCTACTTCTTTCAGCTATAAGAATGGTCTACTTCTCGAACTCACGTTTACCCTGAATACTTAATGGTACTTCATCGAAACCACTCTGAACACTCCAATCACGTATGACTTTTCCTTAACCGTGCAAATTATATGTTATACTTCGTACACGACGAGAAAACGTCGAATAGAGCGACTGACGAAAGTATTCGAGCAATAGGGTGATCAAATGGTTGGTACGAGAACTGTGTAACATATCGTGGATTATTGAAAGAAATTTAGCACATCTATAAACAAAATATGTATTACCTTTCGAAGTTTCTTATCGTGCTTATTTTATTATTACGTTTGCAAAGGACAGCTCTGTAAAATTGATTGATCTAGATTATGGTCTCTTGAGATGAAAATTCAGTCGATCTACCACGTTCGATCCACTTTCTTCTTCACTATATTTATTAATCTCGCAAATGTTATTATCAAATAGGTCGACAGAATATTACCATGCAATGTAAACGACATAAATGTATATACCCCGATATCGGTTTATTATCGTTGAAACCACCTTCAAACTTCGACAAATACCATTAACTCATAAAATCCACCGTTTACATGCACCTCCATATTCGTTAATGCAATTATAATTCAATAGTAGCTACTCCCCTCGATTAATTCTCCAGCTCGTTAGATTCGTTTCAAAAATATAAACCACTGTCCACACGATTCCTTCGATAAACCACAATTTTCTCCACCATCCCTCGCACTTCGAAATCTACCCTTCGCTGCGAATACCTCCGCTAATAAAATGCAAGCAGTCTTTGCGAAATACGGACATTTCGAGAACAAGAAGCTAGAAAGCAATTAATGGAACAAAATCGGCCCCGGTATGGCGGTTGTGGCGAGACGACCTGCGTAGGGGATGGAGAGGGCGGCCGCCTCACGATTTCCATCGAACACCCGATATATCCGGCGCGTAAAAGAGTCGGTCCCGCTTCGTTTCAACGGGACACTGTATAACAAGTTGCTTGCTTAGTAAGTGAATGAATAAAAACCCGTACAGCTCACTCTGTGCTGTGAGTGTTGAGAGTGTTTCGCACCTTGCGAGGCGTTCGGCGAGTGGGCGCGCAAGGAGGCCATCGAGGGTTGCCTCGAGGGTACACGTACGCTCGCCCTTGAACCACGTCTCTCGCCCGGGTGTAAGAGTTTGTTCTCCCTCAGCAACGAAACGTTCATCAGACGCGCATTCGGTGTATTGAAGATCGTACGATTCTCGCGCCAGCGAGCCCTGAAACAGAATGCACACACACACACACACACATGGTCAGAACGACGAACGAACCGCCATGGTGGAACGGCATAGACTTAGAAATACAGGGTGTAACAAAAATGTTGCAGGTCCCTGAAACGGGACAGTCGTAAGGTGATTTGGAACAAGTTTTTCCTTAGCAAACATTTTATCCGAGGCTTTGTTAACGAGATATTAGCGAAAAACTCCGACCAATCAGAGCGCGAGTTTACCGGCCAAGTTCCCGCGGTAACGTTGGCTACCAATGGCAGCGTGTAGCCAACGTCACCGCAGGTACTCGGTGAACTACGGGTATTACTGTTAAAGTTTTAGCATGAAAGTTGTGTCCGTTATGGATAAAAATATTCTAAAATTTCTCGCCAAGGATATTAGGGTTCCTCCTCGGTAACCATAATAATTAATTTTTTTGTATACCCTTTAATCTACTGTTATCTTATAATTCAAAGTAGTTCTAAGATGAAGGGAAGTTAGTTAAACGGTTCGAAATATTCTTTCTTGTTTGAAGCGAGCGAAAAAAAAGTGTAAGGAACAAAACGTTAAATTCACATTCGGCACGCGACGGTCAGGAAGTCCATTTTTGCATGGAATGTCGCACGGAAGTGGGTCACGAAGCTTCGTCGCGGGAATTGGTAAAGTTGAGGGACACCGTGAAAAGATATGCAAATGGATGGCTTACTTGCTGAAAAGCCTAAGAACGACGCAGATGATGATGAACATGAGGGCCATACCAACGAGAACACCAATCATCGTCGCGTCGACATATTGGAGATTGGGTTCCTCCTTTTGCTCCGCTGAAACAACATTCACTATCATTAACTAAATGGTAAATGACACGAAAAAATTCAGATTTGTATCCTTATTGGCCGTGAATGTATAACGTCCACTAAATGAAACATTATGTAGATTTTAAATTACAGCATGCAAAGTATACACAGAAAGTGACGTTGGTCAGCTTCGGTTTCTAGAAGAATTATATTGTACGATGCGCAATTTACAGTTTCTCATCGTTTAGACTGCAACGTTTTCGTACGAAAAAGAAAATTCTACTTCATAAAGAGGAACACATTTTGCAGTGTAAGACAAGTACGAGGCTCGACACAGTGCATCCTTCCATAATCCGAAGCTTGAAACTACAGAATGTATACATATATCTTCCCTCGTAACAGTCTATTTAAGGGAACAAAGTTTCAAACAAAAGACGCCTGAATATGGCTCGTTAAGCAACGACTGACCCTGTTTTACAGTTTTTCCTTCGCACTCGGAATTACCTAAATTCAAGGGTCGCACCAGCAGAACGAAAAAAAAAACGAATTTCGGCCGTACACTTTTGTTTATTATTCCTTTAAACCGTTAATTCAATTCTACAGGTTTCACCTAAAAACTCAAGCATCCACTTTCTGTTCCCACAACATTCAACTTTCAGCGTTTCTATTTCATATCGAATTCCTTCAATATTAACAATATTAAATTCCCATACCCTATGTAATCTTCCAACCCCGAATTCCACCCCCCTCGTACCCGAATACGAAACTTTCCTCGAATATACAACCTTCCATATTACACGTTACAAAATTCAAAAAGATTCCGAGTTCTCACTTAAACCAATTTTCAAGACAATCCAATTACCCGTTCATTGTGGTCCGTTAACCAAACTCCACCGTTTCGAGTTCTTCTATTTCATACTAATTCCCTCACCCCCTGTTCCACGATCCGTCAGGGGTATCGAGTAGAATGCCAGCAGGAGCAAAGCAACACTCTTCTTAATTGTTTAATCCAATCGCCGCGGCTGCTTCGTACGCCCTTTAATTGATCGCGCAAGACAGCTGACGAATTAATGAACTCCGTCGAGAGATTGTAGGCCGGAATTCCATTAACAAGGAACACGTCTCACTCCCGCCGTGCCTCCCACCCCTCTCCCGCAACCCCCATGACACGACGCGTAGGAATCTCATTAAAAAGCGCGAGAGAATCGACCCCCCACCTCTTCCACTAACACCACACCCTTTTTTCTCTCTTTTTTTTTTTCAACAATCCTTACCAACGCACACTGTCAGCCCGTCCGACTGCGTCACCGGGATCTTCTCGAAGATGCATATGCACCGTCCGTCCCTGCACTCGGTCTGGATTACCTTCGCCTCGCATTGCTCGTTAAAAAAGCACGACTCGTTCACGTTCGCCGCTGCAACAAAACGAAACGGTGTACAGGAGAACCATTAACGGCAGCGAACTACTCTGCCACGCGCCGGAACGGGTTTTCCTTTCTGTCGCGAGGAACCGATTTTCTCTGGGAAGTTATTCTTTCCTCCTCCCACCGTCCCCCATCTGGGGAAGTTCTTCCGTGCTTACTATGGAACTAGCTCCTCCCCCCGCGATATCTGGCGCTCATCCTGTCCCGGGAATGAATGCAATAAGTTTGTGTAGACGAAGGTTTGTTTCACTTTGGTTTCTATCGTGTACACGCGGATTGTCTGTTTCACTTCGTTCCATGTTTAGACGTGTTCTGATTCGCGCTGGCGATCTTCTGGTGAATTGAACCTAACAGACGGTGTCCAAGGTGACACGTAAAATTTTTACAGGATAAAAGCCGATACGTCAATCAATTACCATGCGATGCACTGATGACCTATCGTAGGCGAAGTCGGGGTCGCGCGTTATTTTCGCGATTCTGGAAACGAAAGTTCCGTCTCCCCTGTTTATCGATCCACAACTACGTAGACCGTACTCCTCGATATCAATCCTGTCGGAAACTTCCGGTGTTTCCCTTTAATCGATAACTTCCTGTCGTCTGAACCTGCTCGATGACTTTATTGCGGGACGCTCGGTGATCAGTACTTCCGGTGTCCTAGATTTCACCGGAAAAGAAGCTAATCGAACTGTTTCACTAACGATTCGTTGTGAATTCATGAACAGATTAATACCTTTCGTTTCTGAATGGGTAACAAATTTAGAACTTCATTGATTGACTTGCAAAAAAAGAAACGAGAATTAAAAGGAAACAGATTTTCGACTTTCACCTTTCGTGTCAAACGTGAAATACCAATGTTGATACAGTGGTTATTTTAGAATATAGTAAATATTCGACTAATGCTCAATACTTGGGACTGTTTGGGAACAGTTATCGTAGAGGGAGGGTATTTCTACACCTCATAAATTCAACTGGTCGGTCGATTAATTCCAAGGGGTATCCACCAATCGTGGGGATGAAACAGAAGCATTTAACATATAGATCATTTTGAGCGTTTATCGAGAATTTACTGTAGGTATCTAAAAATTTCCATTAATATCATCATTACCCACATTTAAAGCTAGAATCGGTACTTTTAAAGAAAACAATTTTGATCCTCATGGCTACGTAATTCATAAAAATAATGAATATTAGAGGAAAGTAAATGATGCTACAAAGTCTGACTAATTTTTTCACTACAGTGAATGGTACTGACAGTTTTAAAAATCGAGAAAAAATGCTCGAATTGTTCGTATGGGTGTTTAGTGATAGAATGCGCATGATATATCATATTAATGACGGGAGATTCCTCACAAAAGCGGGGCTACAACCGTAAGCCTGTGGTCGACAGCGTACAACCCCGATTGGCATGGTGAGTCCGATCGACTGATTATCTACCCGCGATGCCCTCAATATATCGACCACGAGCTCGCAATTAGGAGAGTGGCTCAACGCTGATCAGGCCCTTAATCCTGGATCAAGTTCGCTCTAGCCTTGCGATCCTTTTTCCTGTCCGCTGACCGACAGGTGCATCGTATTGAAAAAAAAAATGTTAAATAAAATTCAGCTAAACCTCTCCCGTGGCAGCTAACTAATATTGCCAAATCCTTTAAATAAACGCTCATCGGTAAGCAGTGTGTAACGTAACAGAGTCTGGATGTTACGAAAGGAGATTATTTCTTTTTCAAAAGAATACCTCAGGGTTAAATAAGAAAATGTAGAATTTTTAGAATTCGATACGCTCGGCACAGTTCTGTCCTTTTATACCTTTGGTGCCGTTTTTATGGTAAAAAATTTCGCAACACAAACGCATCGGCCATTACGTTTTTTCTGTAAATACAATTCTAAAGATTCTGCAATTTGTCACGTATTTACAGATAATAGAATTTCATCATGAATTGGTATCATTGGTATATAATTCTATTTACAAAAACCCTGGATTCAATTTTTAATTTCTCTCGCTGACCCCTTGACGACCGGGAGACCCATAAAAGAAGCACCGGGTCTTTTTTAGATTCTACGAGAGAAAGCCATAAGCAGCCATCTTTCGACTTTCATATCGTCCCGATCGTAAAACTCGTCCCTCGGACGTGACTCGAACCCTGGACCATACACAAAACTGCCTTTTGCCGTCTGCTTTTCGATAATTTCACGGAACCGTATTCTGCGCATGACGTCGAGGGAGGGAAACAGATGTTGCACCCGTTTAGAAATAATACTAACTTACAGTGTCCACACTTGTCGATGTGATTTGTGGCCTCGAACTCCTCCATGCATGCGCATTTGTTTTTCTTCGGCTCGCAGTACGATCCTGCGAAGCCGCACTCGCGATCCTCCACGCATTGATCGCCGAACTTCCTCGTGCCCCGTCCGCTTAGATCTGAAAACAGAGAGGTCAGGTCGTACCGTTAGTCGAAATTGGGAAACTAATTGTTTTTATGTAATCTACAATTCGCTTCAACAAAGTGGTGTATGTAGATTACGAATCTTTATGCAAATATCAATCTTTAAAGTTTTATTTATGGAAACCAGCAACAGGCAGAAATTTTCGGATCGTTCTGAACAGTTTGTCGAACTGGTGTCGAAATTAATATTTGGAAATAAAAATGAGTTTCCATGGCTCAGTGTTGTTTCCAGAATGATCTTCCAGACGATTCTGAAGTATCATAATTATACTGCGGTACAAACCATAGATTTATACCTATCGTTATAAAAAGAACAAATATTAACAGTTTTATATATTGATTTCATTAAACAAATTGATTGAATTAATTCCTAAATTGAAATTCAGCTAAATTTTTAAAATAAAGTTTATGACTGAAAAAATGATTCTTTTTCAATCTTCAAGAATAGAGAAAAAAACGGTGAAACGAGAGAGCGAGAAAGAGAAGTTGCAATTCCTGTGAACGATTTTTTTATTTCTATCGTGTAATTAACACCTGCTCGACGTACACTTGAAAGTTCAACAGACCGTCGGGCTGTTGAAGAATTTCAAGGGTCGTGGGGGGTCGACGCAAGCAAAGACGCCGGGACGCCTGTTTCACAGAGTCAAGGAAGCGATCCTTTTTTGCAAGGCAAAGAGACCCCGAGCTTGATTACTGCATTGTCGTTGCATAATGGCCGTCTACCCGAATGCGATCGTATTCATGCACGGGGATGAACGAGATATAGTACCCGAGCGTTTCAACGAGAATGCACCGAGATGACGATCCCGAAAGATGCTACGGTCGTTTTGTTACGCTTTGTCCACGCTTCAGACGACGAAACGAATCGTGAAAATAACGCCTCCATCCCCTTCCCCCGCGACTGCAACCGTCCCGCGAAAATCGCGAATTAATTCCGTAGACGGACATATTGAGATACAGAATATCCCAGGTTGAAATATACAGGGTGTCTCTAAAAGATGGGACAATCCACAACATATATATTCCCCATGCAAATACAAATCGAAAAGTCTGTTACTTCAATTTTATCGTTATTACCTCTATCCTATAGTTGGTCGCCATCTTTACGCTTGAATACGAACACGGTAACTTTCATAATGAATGTTACATTGACATTCTATTCGTTACATAGTGCAGCACACAGACAGTTCGGTTAATATGTGCAATGTTCGGGTAACTGTAAAATTTTCCCACCATAGAACAAACAGAACACTGAATGTCGATTTCAAGGTTGAAACGAAACCGTGTATCCCCTCGTTTCAGAAGGCTCGGGGACAAAGACCGGTAGCACCGGTGGCTTTCTCACAGGCGAATTACCATCCAAACTTTCCTATCGGACTAAATGATTAAAGCGGCTGACTTTCCAAGTCATTCGGAACAGTCGTTGACAAAAGGGAACGTAATAATACGGGAGGCGAAATCGCGTGGATTGCCGAGATCGATTCGCGTACCTATTTCGCTGAGTTCGGCGAACGATTTTACGGCGCGTGGCACGTGAGAAGATTGCTCAAATAAACAAGTATATACAGGGTGGTGTCTTAGGTCAGGTGGTAGAACCGGGCAAAAATTAATTCTGTAAGAAAAAATAAGTCGAGAAAAAAAAGGAATAAATTTTTTTAGCAAAATTGGATTCGATGAATCATCGAATGTGAAACGCGTGTAATTTTTACACGAGGAATTACCTTCTTCCCACGTTACACCACGATTTCGGAAGCACCCTGTACAGATTCGGGGGGATTTCGTCCGGAAGGGTTTCTTTTGTCGAATAAAAATGACGTTGGTTCCCTCGTCTACGCCACGCTTAGGGCGACCTACACGTTCGCGAAAAGAGGATTCCTGTCCCGATGAATATGAGGGCGCCAAGACCACATTCCTCCCCTTTGATGGAGCACTTTAGACCGATCGAAAGGTGTACGCGGCCGGATACCTCGTGGAAAATTTAATAAGCGTTGAAAAAGAATTGTCTGGTTCTTTCTCGTGCTTCTTTGAAAAGAAAAACTTCGTGCAATACCTAATGCGTCTAAGAACTTTTCGTTTATGGTGACCATTTAGTTCCTGCAGCCTCTTTCATCAGACGAAATCAAATATTTCTTCTGCACAGGTGAATAATTGTACTTGTTTCATAAAAAAAGTCGATCGTTGTGGTATATCTTCTGGATTGAAACTGGACATTACTATTTACACAAGATTATGAGAATTAAAAAATTTGGTTAGCGGATTACATACGTATAAGTCATTAAATAAGAGAGAAAATTAAAAAACAGGTTTGTATATGCAGAATTATTGTTTATTGAAAATTCGAGTCTTCAGTAAAAATGATAATCCAATCAGAAGTATAAACCTTTTCATCTTTCAAAAATTCAGTTCAATCAGAATCTTCGAAGAAGGTCGACAGAATCGAAAATGATCTAGCAAGTGAGATCAACAGATTCTCGGTTTTAAGCGTTGATTCCCGCGGAAATAGCCTACTTACGTGTAATTACATGTGTACTCGTCCAAAATGGATATGTGTGCGGATGACGCAGAATTGTAATGCGGTAAGCCTGCATGCGAAATGATCGGGGGCACCGGTCACGACGCTATCGGTCACCTGCGGATACCTTAAACCACGCGAAAGGTGCGTGCAGAATGGTTTTCGCGATATCAATCGGAACGCCACGACGGCGCCGCCATCCCCCGCGATGAAGTATGATAACGTACACGTTCGAGTACACGTATATTTTGTAATACGTTCGCTAATTAACACTCGTTACCGTAATGTAACGTTATTACACGCTACGGGATTTTACCCAATTAAATCTGTGTCTTCGTTATCGGGATATGGTGGTCCCGGGCAGGAGTTCGTTTGGGAGGACACCCGAGAACGACGGTGATGTGAAAAGCGCCGACAGATGTTTTAATGGGCAAACAAAGTCACGGGCGCGCTTCGGAACTGGACCAGGGAGTCGAGTTATATACGAATTCATACTTTCGTAATCAGAATTGGACGAACGTTGATTTCCTCTATGGATTTTTTGGGTGACCCCCACAGATATTACAGAAGACTCGTCAGAGTATTACGACTAAAGCATCTGTTTTATTCTTAAAGCCATTGTCAAACGAAAACAGTGCTGCGAACATGGTACAGTTATGAACATTTTCTTCCGTGCTAAATAACGTACCCGTTTCTCTCATCCTAGACTAAAAGGGTTGTTTTCATTCCCTAGACCACGGACTATTTCCTCGAGCACTCTTTCGCACATAAATTTCATGGGAATCGATCCGCGTGTACACGTCTCGAGTGACGCCTCTGTTCAGTCGTGGAATTGTTGCGGCATACGAGACCGTGATTAGGAAAATGGCAGCGGGATCGTGGTAGGCTTCCTTCCTCGTTCGAGTATTCGTTAAACGAGACAGATTTAGCAATTCGAAATTGCGGATGCCGGCTAAAATCAATATCAGTTCCAGTTCGTTTCATTTCCTGGCTGGTACGAGAGTCACAGCTTAGCTAGACTTCTTCGACCGTCTGGATCAAGGATTCGCCTGGATGGTCTTAACTGATTTTTCATTACTGATACGAGAACACGTGACCGACCAAGATTTTCCCAGAGACTGCGGCGCACTTTCCATTTGTTACGCTAACGGAAACAGAACCGTCGGCATTGCAGTTAAGTAGGACAGGCCTGAATGACGTCGGACGCTATTGCCCTTGCACGAAGGACTATTGCATGACTGAAACGGGTTTCGTGTGCTCCTCTTGAGCAATGGACCGAAGATAGACATCTACGTTTTATCAGAAAAATCGATCGAATTCTATTGTGGTTTTCTGTCTGACTTCTACGTTGGACAGAAACAGAAGATTTCGTTCGTACGAAGAAACCGTCCTCACGAAGAGTCCTACAAGTCTAAGTCGATCAAAGTCTAAAAAAGCCGAGTTTTGTTAAATAGGAGAATCATGTAAAGATTTTTCATCCAGTGTTTAAATCTTTTTGTCTAGAGAATATTCGCGATACAGAAGGTAATGTTTTTAAGAAAAATAGGAATATGTACTTGGAAATTCACCATTTAACGAAAAAAAAAAAACAAAGGATGCTGTGCAACATGTGTGCTCTAGATACCCCAACTCCAACCTACGCAGTCGCCACAAAAGTCATAAAAGAAAACATCGCATTAACTGCACCCTCGGTAATATCTTGCACGAGAGCACAAGCAACGAAACGTCTGAGCGTGTAATTATCCTGCAATAGCTGCAACTAGGGAAGAAGGTCAAACGGGGTGAGCGCATTTACATGAACTTTTCAAGTTATGTTTGTGTCCCGCGTCTATTTCCGATTCCCTACGTGTCACAAAACACTCTGGTATATGGGAACCAGGTACCGTATAAACCTCAAATTATCAAGTTTCTCTATCATCGATAGCTGTCAAAAAAAAAAAAAAAATATACGAATCCTGTGCCGTGAAACTATTCGTCGTTGAAAAGGGAGGGTCAGTGGCGGCTACGGTTCGCAATTTCCGTCTTTGAGTCGGGCGCTGCATAAAAGCGAGAAGGGGCAAACTCGAGGGCCTCGAACCTCAAAGAACTTTGCTGTTCGCGCATAATTGCGTGGTCAGTTAACGATCTGTCCTCCTTGCTACCACCTGAAAGAAAGAACGAAGAAAAAAAAGAAGAAAAAAAGATCGCGTAGAGCACGACGCAAGAACTACTCTCTCTCTCTCTCGCTCTCGGTGACTCTCCCCCAAGTAAAAATGGCGACACTTGGGTCAATCTACGCGTCGAAACTGGGTCACTTTGCTGTGGCACGCTGCCAAAGCTCTCACGTGCGAGCCCCGTCGTCCCGTGCTAGCTGCAGTTTTGAAGCTGGCAACCCACCTTCGAACAGGGACGCGGATCTAACAGGGGCAGGAAGTCAGGTGTCTGTTGGCCCATACAGAAAATTGAGCTGTACGAATTCCGGAC